CCCCCCCCCCCCCCCCTCTGAAAATATGGTCACATTTGTAACTCTTCATTCCGTTGATTTTGTATTAGTTGACGTCACGGATATTGGAATTGACTGGTTTAAGCAAAATGCTGAAAAGGAGAAAAAGTCGAAAGGTTCAGTGAAGATAAAAATACGGAACTGGGTTTGTGTGAAGTATGCCGAGTCAGACATTCGCCTATTCGCAACTTTTCTGTTCTCATTTAGTATGTGTAACTGAAATTTTAAGATGTATCTATAATGTGGAAAAACACATCCACGAGCTCTCAGAATGGATATATACATGCATATGTATTGTACAGCTGGGCTTTCTTGTCTTCGCCGATTTATCAGTGGATATTAAACAATAAACTAATTCCAACAAAAAGCCGGGCTACAGTCGCACTCCTCATTCAAAGAACCTAGGGAACACAGATTATTGTCCGCACACGCATATACTGGTAATTGTATATTACACTTCTACCGGTGAAATACTTGGTGAAAAATGAATAATATTTCTCGGATTTAAACCAATGAATATAACGACACGTCGGAAAGCTTGATTTGTGCCCTTTCGGTCGACTTGACAGACTTACGTCATAAAACCGAAGTCCTTCACGTAAAGCGGTTTCGACGTTCTGAAGAACTCTAAATGTCTGTTATTTTATTTTATAGGTCTACAAATGGATACATATTTACTTGTTTCCCGTTGAATATCAAATATATTTCTCTCGTGTGGCAGAATATGTGAATATCGTCATTCGCATTTACCGCGCTCGTTAAAATGTAGAAGTATTTTTGCACATCGTAAAATATAAATGGTATTACACTAATGGTTATGTGGATGGCAGTATTGAATATCCTTACCATAAGAAAACATCTCACTGCTTTTAGAAGACCTGTCACAGCGTGATGATTGTAAATATGTTCTTCATCATCCGCAGAACGATGTTAACTTATCGAGGGGAGTTCTTCATAATTGCGAAAAAATCCCCCACTAGGCCTATACCAAAACAATCGATATTTGCGCACCATGATATATATATTTTTTTACATATCAAAAATCCAATTTTGCATACTATTTTAAGATTTTTGCATACCCTTTAATAACTTAATCTTGCTGGTAACAAGCATTTTGATTGGCTTAAAAAAGTATGTCATCAGCCCATAACGTAAAAAATTACGTCGCCGTTTGTAACGTCGCTTTTGATTGGCTGATACAGCGGCGTAACAATTTCTAAGAGAAAAGAGTCCATCAATAAAAGTGGATTTCCACAGGGATTGTGTAAAGGAGAATAAATTATAAGGATTGACTTGAATATATTTTGTATGTTATGGAGCTATAACAAAAAAAACCGGAGTGTACTCTCATCATAAACCGCATCGCGGTATATATTCAAGTTAACCCTTAATTATTTTTGCATTTGCCTAATCGATTTTGGGTATGCATTGAGCGATCGGAGTTTTCATAATGCCATTTTTTTGTGTGTATGCAATATTATTTTCACATGTGAAAAACTAGTTTCGTAAAGTTCGATTTTGGGGTTTTAATTTTTTTTTTATTCACAAGTGTAGATACGTGTATATTTCCAGTTGCATTGCAAACTTATTTCTCAAATACGTAAGATATAATATGAAACTTACCTCCCCTTTTATTTGCCACTCGAACAGCTCTTGATTTACTATTAACATCGCCTGTTGACCAGCTGAAGACGACTTTCACCATTATTTACTAAAGTGAAATATTAACAGAAGAGAAGTTCCGAGTGGTAACATTTATTGTAGGTTACAATCAATGCCGATTCGTTAAGAATTATTGTATACCATACAGCAACAACACAAATATATATTTCAAGTAAGAAAATGTACACATATATAATTGTTTATAAGTTAGACAATTAAAACTAAACATTGATTTGTTTCATATTCACAAATAAAAAGAAACCACAAAACAATGCATGAAGATTCATAAAAATTGACGTTAGTTACCCGATGTGTTCAGCCAATATCGTGAGTTCATTTTTTTTTTTTACAAAAGACGCGAGGTTTATCTGCTGTGGCTGTTATAAAAGCTAACTAAAAGGGTGAAATGATAATTAACTGTATTTAGTCAACGAATATGTTTATCCCACAACTTTGTTTCTGCAATAAATTTGTCCGTTTACATTTTATTCGCGAGCCTTCGTCCATGACCTTTACGCTTTTCAACGTGCAATTATACAATTCCATTAAATTAACCATTTGTAGTAAAAATGATCAAGGTCTTCATAGAAAAAAACTTATTTTTAATCACAATGAATCTGTCTTATTGGGATAAATACAAAATAAATAACATTGATTTCAGAGAGTTAGTTACGAGGAATGATCTAATTGAGAGAAGTGACTGGTACTGTTTTCACTGGCATTTTTGTCAACTATCTCTATACACGTTTTACAAAACATGCAATATATACTTTCAAATACTTGCCTTATTCAGAAAGTTCAATATCTATGTTAAACTAAGGATGATGTCACCAATGTCTATATAGAGTAAGACACAACACAGCACTACAGATACCGACCCTACATATATTACGTCTGACCTCTGGTTCTCAATAAAATCATAACATAAAAGTAGCACGTGGTTGATATATTGTATTAAAATTTCCCTACTAATCTGGACATGTTATCAATAACATTTCTGTGATAACTTATTCGAGCGGACAACAAAAGAACAAAATGATCTATTGTACACTTGATTAAAGCCTCCAGAAAGCGAGATTTTCGGATAAAATAAGTCCACACTATTAAGGTTTTACAGTGGGTAACATAAACTTTCTACTGAACGAAATAACACTGCCTACTTACTCGTAAAAGGTTTCTGAGTATACACCAAAGATCACAGTCTATCACTTGTCCGGATTATGAAGTTTCCCACTATGTATAATAGCTCAGTCTATCACTTGTCCGGTTAATCAAGGTTCCCGAGTGTACCTCACATCACAGTTTACCAATAGTCCGCATTATGAAAGTTCCCGACTTTACCTAACATCCCTGTTTATCACTTGCCCGAATTATCAAGTTTTCCGGATGTATACCTAACATCACAGTCTATCACTTGCCCGGATTATCAAGTTTCCCGGCTGTACCTAACATCAAAGTCTATCACTTGTCCGGATTATCAAGGTTCCCGGCTGTACCTAACATCAAAGTCTATCACTTGTCCGGATTATCAAGGTTCCCGACTGTACCTTACATCACAGTCTATCACTTGTCCGGATTATCAAAGTTCCCGATTGCTTCTTACATCACAGTCTACCACTTGTCCGGATTGTCAAGGTTCCCGACTGTGCCTAACATCACAGTCTATCACTTGTCCGGATTATCAAGGTTCCCGACTGTACCTAACATCACAGTTTGTCACCTTAATACCACAATCAGTTTACGAGAAAACGTGTTTCGGTGTATAAAAGGTGTAAATTCACTTGGAGTTGCATATATATATTAACGTTTTTATAAAAAAAAAAACGATTGATATATTTTTCGATGTTTGGAAAAGATATTTTTATGCAATATAGAACGAATTTTGAAAATAAATTCACAAATGTAAATGATGTATCTCACCTTCGTATGATAATAATCACTACACCCAGTACCACAGGACGAGTAGGACGGGCAGTAACTCTGGTTTAAATTGAATAAATGCCACTGTAACTCCCTTGATAGCAAGATTCGATTTTGCTGCGCTAACATTGCAAACTAACCGTTTGTGGCGCCGTCTAATGAACGGGACACAACGTTACGTCAGCGTCACGTCACATCTGTGAACGAAAACGACAGTTTATAACATCCGATTATCACAGGCCATAAACACATACATTTTAAATATTATATTGTTTAATCATTGTCTTGATTTCTTCGTTTGTTAACCGAAATATATTGTTCTTAACATCTTCCAGTGACTGTCAATTACCATAGTAAGCCTACTTAGTTTGTCAGTGGATTCCGAGCTGTCAAGGTGACACTTTTAGTGTTTTGGTGTTGGAGATTGACAGGTTGGTCGGATATCAGAATCGCATTTCGAAACAAAGGTCTGTTTTGTGTTCAACGAATGGCGGACATTGTAAAAATACACGGATACAAGGAATGATTAAACGCGTTTAGTGGGAAGTTTTCAGACAAAAATCACTCGACGTTATATATAGATACAAATTACCCGCGTGTTTCTATACAATCACGGCCACCTATCGTGAACAGTAATAACCGAAAATGAGGATACCAATCTTTGAAAGATATCCCTTCAGAAAATCGGCGCCCGATCATCTTCCTTACTAGTGTATACAGTTTCACTGTCGTCATCATCGTCGTCATTACGCACGAGATCGGTTCTCGCACAAATGAAATCTTTCCGTTGCACGGTGTTTTGCTCGTAGTCGTCGACCTCTGTGTTATCAGCGTCCGTGTCGCTAGGGTCGGAATCGTCGAGTTGCAGCTTGTTGATGGGAGGCAGGACGATGACGTTCTTCAGTACCGTCGGGTCGATCACACTCATCAAACTTTTCCTTCTCAGCATGGAATTCGAAACCGGTAAACTCGGGTCGATTATCAGTGTGCTCTCTCCGGAGTTCCCGTTTGACTCGATCAGGTCGACGATCTCCCGGCTTAACATTTCCTTACGTTCTTTTTCAGTACTTTGCTGTTTTCTCAATCTCCTCAAACTCTCTCGTTTCTCATCTCTGAAACTGGACCTTTTGTCCTCCCTCTGACTATTCCGATGCTCCTGTCGGAAACTGCCCCGACGGTCTTCACGCGGACTTCCTCGTCTGTCATCACGCGGGCTGCCTCGCCTGTCTTCCCGGTGACTGCCTCTACGATCTATGTTGTCCCTACGGCTGCCCCTGTCCTCTCTATAGCTAGACTGTCGGTGGATACTCCTTCTCTCGTCTCTGTGACCACTGTACCGTTCGACCTCGCCACGATGGTCGTCGTTATCACTGGTATCATCACCAGTGTTATAACTGTTTGGAATTGAGAGTCGTGTGATGCTGAGTGCGTTGACAAATTTGGGCTTAAACTTCAACTGGTTTATTTTTTTCTCTGAAACTATATCTTCGAGTGTATATCCGCCGAGTTTTAACCATTCTTGAACAGAGTAGCCATGTACTTTGTCCCTGACATGGAGCGAAGCCTGACCTTGCTGGGCAAGGATTCGGGCACAAGAGATGTTCCCGTGCTTGGCTGCAGTCAAGAGAGCTGTGAAACCGTTTTTGTTCGCATGATCAATCTCCAACCCAAGTCGCCGGAAGTTGCGAGTCAACAAATCCGTGGCGACATCATTTCCGACTATAGAGCCGTATATGAGCGGTGTATTGCCTGCAACAATAGAAACATAAGTTGTTAGCCATGATCATTCGCGTGAAGCCTTACTCCAAACAATGTGCCGTTTTACAATCGTATAATGGCCTTTGCTATATACGTTTACCTTGCTACCTATCGATAAACACTCTTCAACTCAGTGATATTTAGTGTGTATATCGGTAGTGGTAGGTTAGAAATGTATTCTCACGTCAATGAGCTATGGTTTACAATAAATATAATTACACAGGCCAGTGAGCTATGGCTGTCGGTCAAAAAACACAACTCCGAGGAGCTATGGCTGTCGGTCAAAAAACACAACCCCGATGAGCTATGGCTGTCGGTCAAAAAACACAACCCCGATGAGCTATGGCCATCAGTCAAAAAACACAACCCCGATGAGCTATGGCTGTCGGTCAAAAAACACAACCCCGATGAGCTATGGCTGTCGGTCAAAAAACACAACCCCGATGAGCTATGGCCGTCAGTAAAAATACACAAGCCAATGAGCTGTGGCTGTCAGTCAAGTTGCACAAGCCAATGAGCTGTTGCCGTCAGTCAAATCTGTGGCTGTCAGTCAATATTGACAAGCCAATGAGCTATGGCCGTCAGTCAAAATACACGAGCAAATAAGCTGTGGCATCAGTCAAAATACACCAGCTAATTGGATATGGCCGTCATTCGAAATACACAAGCCAATGAGCTGTGGCTGTCTGTCAAAATACACAGGCCAATAAGATATGTCCGTCAGTCGAAATACACAAGCCAATGGGCTGGTGCCGTCAGTCAAAGTACTGAGTTGTGGCTGTAAGTCAAATCACAGCCCAATGAGCTATGTCTGACAGTCAATATACACAAATCGATGAGCTGTGACTGTCAGTTAAAATAAATACAGAGACCAAACGAGCTATATGGACAAAAAATAAGACACAAGTTACTCATGAGTTGGTACCGTCGAAATGAAGACAATGAACTATGAGCTGAAGACGTAAGTCAAAGTAAACACGCTTCAGCATCATTCAAAATGCTAATACACGTCAAAGAGTTAATTGTTGGTCGCCATTCAAAATCCTTTTAAAGTCAAATGAACTATGGTTGCCTATTACAATATGTAAACAGCTTTACATGAGCAAAGGCGAATAAACTGTGGCCGTCAGTCAATACACAGTACAATCAGTTAATAAAGATAATAAGCAGATACGACAGTGAGATAAAAAAAAAAAAGGCACATGGACATGACACATGCCAATGCATTTTTGCCTTTAGGTAAAAAAAGGATGACACACGGGAATTAGTTGGAGCCTTTAGTTAGAAAATGACACAAGAGAATTAATTATGGCCTTTAGCCGTCAGTCAAAATAAAAATATTGACCAATGAGCTACAAGTAACTACATTGAACGATGAGCTAAATAACTACACTGAACGATGAGCTAAATAACTACATTGAACGATGAGCTAAGTAACTAAATTAAACGATGAACTAAATAACTACATTAAACGACGAGCTAAATAACTACATTGAACGGTGAGCTAAATAACTACATTGAACGATAGGCTAAATAACTACATTGAACGATAAGCTAAATAACTACATTGAATAATGAGCTAAGTAAGTACATTGAACGATGAGGGAAGTAACTGCATTAAACGATGAGCTAAGTAATTACATTGAAGGATGAGCGAAGTAACTACATTAAACGATGAGCTAAATAACTACATTGAACGGTGAGCTAAATAACTACATTGAACGATAAGCTAAATAACTACATTGAACGATAAGCTAAATAACTACATTGAATAATGAGCTAAGTAATTACATTGAACGATGAGCTAAGTAACTAAATTAAACGATGAGCTAAGTAATTACATTGAACGATGAGCTAAATAACTATATTAAACGATGAACTAAATAACTACATTAAACGATGAGCTAAATAACTACATTGAACGGTGAGCTAAATAACTACATTGAACGATAGGCTAAATAACTACATTGAACGATAAGCTAAATAACTACATTGAATAATGAGCTAAGTAAGTACATTGAACGATGAGGGAAGTAACTGCATTAAACGATGAGCTAAATGATTACATTGAACGATGAACTAAGTAATTACATTGAACAATGAACTAATTAATTACATTGAACGATGAGCTAAGTAACTACACTGAACGATGAGCAGCCATAAATGTCATTTTCAAAATGTTACAAATATTTTATAGTTTTGCATTTAAACAGTTTTTTGGAAAAGTTATCGTTGTAAACAATCGAAAAGTGACTTGCGTCCAATTTAATTGACAATAGCTGGAAACACATTAATTGTCGATAATATTCGTGGCTTAATTATCTTGATTACTGCAGTTTTATATTGAGCTGCAAGCTAAATACGTCAAATGCACAGCTACTGGAGTCATATACAGGCGATTTTGCCAATGACAGCGGTTTTCTTTGTCTGTTAATTACTTATCAAACACGGGTTACATTTTTACTTTCAATCACATTGGTGGTATTACTCATTCAGATAAATGATATCAGCCATTTCTAATGAATCAGGTTCGTGGGGTAAATAGGCCTGCTCTACCCTTCGGCGAGTCGTGAACGGCGACTTAACGGTTTCTTGATTACGGGCCCAGAACTTATTTGCAACCCTCATTGTGATACATTTTGAGTTGTTTTGCTCTCCTTACCGCACTTCCCTAATCTTTGTCTAAGTGTTGTCTCACTTGCACACGCCATTTAGTCAGACCCCAAAAAACATCCTTGCCAAGTGCTATCATGTTGAAGACAGGAACAAGAGTATATGTGATAGCATAGACAAAACAGGGCTCTGTAAACAGATACACGAATAAATAATAAATTACGTAATTATACACAACACGGGCTCTGTAGACAGGTACAGTAGTATAGATAACACGGGGCTCTAAAGACAGGTGACATAATCTATTCGTAAGCATAAACAAATACATGGCACTAGACACATGCATAACAGTATATGTGTTAATACAGACACCATAGGGCTCTGTAGACATGTACACGAGTATATGTTTTAGTATATATAACACATGGCTCTATAGACAGGTACGTGTATATGTGTTTTAGTATATATAACACAGGGCTCTGTAGAGAGATACGTGAGTATGTGTGATAGTATATATAACACAGGGCTCTGTAGACAGGTACGTGTATATGTTTGATAGTATATATAACACAGGGCTCTGTAGACAAGTACATGTGTGTGTGTGTTTGTATAGACACCACAGAGCTGTGTTGACAGTACGACCTCTATGTTTACCCTACCTTTGAGGTCCTCCAGATCGGGATCGACGTCGTTCTGTCTGACAAGTATGTCGACGATATCATTACATTTCGTTTCGCACGCGTAACTCATCGTCGTGCGTCCGTGGTCATCTTGAGAGTTCACGTCCGTTCCTTTCTCCAGGAACAGCAGGCTCATCTCGCTCCTTTGCATCTGTTCCTAGACATACCAAATACACACAAGGTGCATAAGAACGTACCGATAATCGGAAGGGACAAGGTAAAACGACTTTGTGATGAAAAGTGATTGTTGATTAATAATCTGCCAGGTATCTTAACAAACCAAACACAATTTACCCATTTAATTCGAACAGGTTAAGTTCAACTGTGTACAGTCCGTATTTAATGAGGCCAATGAGTGGGTATTTCAGTTACCCCGACGTACCGTAGATTTTCCTGCCGACTTGTATCCCGAAGACTAATTTATTAGCCAGGCAAAGCTCACAGCCACTCGTTAAAATATAATTTCTTCCTGTTCTGGGGTCTGACCCTTATTAATTCTAGACAAATCAACAGGCATTGTAAAGAGTGGAAATTCATTGTAATTGTTTTAATAAAAAATATGTTGATATATAAAAATAAAAATATTGAAATTAAAATAAAATTACTTGCCTACCGACCGAGTACCCTATTTTTTCAGGTGTGTTACGTGAACCAGACTATTGTTTTTTTACCCGAAGATAAGGTACCTTGGACGTATCTACTTTTTATAACTTTGTTTGTGTACACAATGTAAGATTGTAGGTTATTAGTTGTATTGGTGAGCATTAAAACGTTGTTGTAGGGAGCTGTGGTTATAGATTCTGTACCAAACGGCGGCCGACGTCATACTATGATAATAAACTGTAATAGACGGACATGAACTTTCTTATATTGGTATCAAACGGACAATACAAAATGAAGTGCAATTTATGTGGTTTCGTCCATCATTATCTGGTTCTGCTAATATGAAGAATAATTTAACGATTTATCGTACCATCTGGAACCTGTTACTACGGGAAATGTTACCACTACATGGGCATAACCCATAAAACGTGTAAAAAGACTTTGAACACCTTAGTCAATTATAGCTGTAAAATAATCTCAAGCCCCTATGCTCCCGATTATAATGAAGAATGGAGGAATATAAAGGAACAAAAATTAATTATTCTTGCTTGGAGCTACTTCCCTTGTCAAGGAATTCTTTTCCGTTTTAATGCTGTGCTTTTATAATTCCCGTATAGCAACATTGATAACATGTGATATTATCTGTGCATAGTAAAATTCTGGGAATGTACCAAAAATAAATATGATAGAAACGATGATAAAAATACCTTTTAACATATTAATGTACGATATTAACGATAACACAATCGATTGTCTGATGTCCACGAAAACACGTTAGATTGTTTGATGTCCACGAAAACACGTTAGATTGTTTGATGTCCACGAAAACACGTTAGATTGTCTGATGTCACGAAAACACATTAGATTGTCTGATGTCGCGAAAACACATTAGATTGTCTGATGTCCCCGAAAACACATTCGTTTGTCTGATGTCCGTGGAAAAACGTTAGATTGTCTGATGTCGCGAAAATTCATTCGATTGTTTGATGTCCACGAAAACACGTTAGATTTTCTAATGTCCCCGAAAACACGTTAGATTGTCTGATGTCACGAAAACACATTCGTTTGTCTGATGTCCGTTGAAAAAAGTTCGATTCCCTGATGACTGCCGCGAAAATTCATTCGATTGTCTGATGACCACGAAAACACATTCGATATCTGATGTCCGTGGAAAAACGTTAGATTGTCTGATGTCGCGAAAATTCATTCGATTGTCTGATGTCCATGAAAACACGTTAGATTGTCTGATATCCACGAAAACACGTTAGATTGTTTGATGTCCACCAAAAAACGTTAGATTGTCTGATGTCCCCGAAAACACGTTAGATTGTCTGATGTCGCGAAAACACGTTAGATTGTCTGATGTCCCCGAAAACACGTTAGATTTTCTGATGTCGCGAAAACACGTTAGATTGTTTGATGTCCACGAAAACACGTTAGAGTGTCTGATGTCGCGAAAACACGTTAGATTGTCTGATGTAACGAAAACACATTCGTTTGTCTGATGTCCGTGGAAACACGTTCGATTCCCTGATGACTGCCGCCAAAATTCATTCGATTGTCTGATGACCACGAAAACACATTCGATATCTGATGTATACAGAAAGATTTATGAATTTGTGATATCCTTGAAAATACATACCACTATATGATGTCCGCTTTATCACCAGCGACTTCTAGAGTCTACAAATATATATTTTTCCCTAATGACCGAGAAATCACAAACGTTTGTTAGACCTACGCACAAGTTGTACATTTTTGCTGATGTCAACGAAAGCATCCACTTGTTTTATGTCCGTAACAATATCTGTTTTTAAAAAGAAAATCTTTTTCGGCACCCTACGATTGTTAGATGTCTGCGAAAAGAGTCGATTATATGATGTCAGCGAAAATGCATGCTATTTTAACTTGCAGATGAACAAGAAAACACATACGATGTCCAAATAAAACGCACAGACAATTGGTTTTATGTATTCCGATTTTCTTATTCCTTACGCTATTTCCTTACTATTGCGGCACACAAATCATTCGCGCTAGAAAGCTTTTCTATATCCGACTGGAAACAGTTAACGCGCGACTTCTACACTAATAAATAATGCAGCTGGAAATAAACACTTGGAGATTTTGTAAGAAGTTATAAAGTAACAAAAAATCAACTTTTCCTTTTCTGGAACGACACGGCGATTACAGTAAATGTATAAAAATGTGGGAATGGTTGGCTATTTTTTTCAATCTCAAAAATCAAGAAACTAAAGGAAGTATGTGATGTCCATAAAAAAATGTGTATGACTTGTCTGTGATGGACTATAACCACACAATGGAACGTCAAAATCACAACAGACGAAATTACCTTGATCTGACAACATAGAGTGAGGGGGTTCTTGCCCTTTAAGTCTGTTGAATTGGCCAAATCACTCGGGGAAGCGTCCAGTATAAATTTGGCCAGGCGGTATTTCCCCTTCTTTATGGCATCAAAAAGTAGTCTGGCGTCCGTGTGGGTGTCCATGCGGTCCGTGTAGATTTCTCTTAGTATGGGTAACCAACTCTTTTGATATTTGTACTGTGGTTCGTAAGGATAGTCGACACTATGTGACTTGTATCGGTATCGGTTTGAAGAGAACGGGTCCATCTTGGCTGCAAGCACAAATAAATAGTCGAACAGGATTTGGCAAGTAGTCACGAGTATTTCATATTGTGCCAGGCCAGTTTTCTCTATATATATAACTTTTTTTTTTGACTGTACATTATAGTGGTTTATGTCGATCCCTCCAACTAATCCATTTACGCTTCCCTGTTGTGATTTTGCCCGAGAAACCAATTCGCAAAGTGATCTCCTGTGGTAAAATCGATAGTTATCAATACCAATTACTAATTACCAATTGACAAGATCGGCTTTGATTAAATGTTGTCACGAAATGGGTTCATGGTGAAGACAAATCTAAACCATATGCATACCTAACACATGGGGATAATGATGTTACAAAAATCAGTGTCCATTTTAATGAGGTCAAAAATGGTGTATAGTGTTGTACAGTAATTAAATCCGCACAGTAAATACAATGACTTCCAAGATATCACAAAGTTTGTTTACAGCTGATAGTTTCCCTGAGGATGACACTTGCTATACACCAGATTGCTGGTTTTGGCAGATGGTAATTAATTTAATAAAATTACTCAGAACTGTACCTATGTAGAAGATGAGAAAAAGGTCTTACGCTCATGCACCAATAGTACTAATGTCATTTTAACTTGTACTACAGGTGGAAATTCTCCGTTTGCCATTTTACCTATAATTCTAAAACATTTAATACTAATTTGGCCACTGTGAAATACCTTCTTCTAATTACCAGTGGAATAGTGAAAAGGTAACATACTAATAAACCACAGGCACAGTATTACGTGAATTGCAAATGAAAATTTGTTTTGGTATACAAGAGTCTGATTAAATATTTAAAATAGTTGGTAACCAAGAGATCAACTAACTTTACTAGTTACTATCGGATATATTAGACACTGAATTTGTGGTTGAAAAAACAAAGTTACAAAAGATGTGCATCGGCCGGGAATCGAACCCGGGCCTCCCGCGTGGCAGGCGAGAATTCTACCACTGAACCACCGATGCTTCATATTTGTGCAGTGTAAAATATATTATTTATACAATAAAGTTTGATACTCTGAACAAATCTATCTTATTACAACATCATAATCCATTCCATGCCTTTTTTGATACCCATTTTAACAGTACTTTATTTTCTGTTTCTAATTCTGGATAGGCAAATCAATAAATAAATATACTATTTGTACTTTCGTTTTGTTACCGGAAGTATTATCCGAACAGTACCGCACATAGATTACATCAGTAATTTAAATGACTGTACGCAAGTCCAATTTGTGTGTAAGATCTGGTCGTTTATAATTTTTAACATACAAAAGAAATTAATTAAAATGAATGTGTTGATTCTACAATAAACGAAATTCAAACGCCGACAAATTATCTCCCTTGAATTACACGCGCCATATCCTGCGACGGCGGTTAAAATGACAACACGTTTCATGAGCTACTGTCACTTTGTAGTTACCCGATAAGCCCAACTACTGGAAGATCTCTCGAAATGGCTTCCTTTGTGACCGAAGTTTTAACTTCGGCGGGTAAATATTAGTTGCAGTAAAAAGATAACTTTCCATCGTCATTGACAGCGCATAAACTTGATTGTTACTTTCGTGAAACCTGATGGTTATTCTCCTCTGAATCTTGATCTACCTGAGAGGCCTTAATCTTGAGTATAATCTTCCGGATTGGGGGAGTGCTTTTATAGTTTAGGTTGATTTCAGTCTTTGTTAAAAGGATTCCATTGTTTCAGCACACACACTAACCTTTGGGCCAGTCACCTTTTTTTAAAATTCCACCCCAATGAACACGAAATTTTAAAATATTACCGTAAATGGTAACAGTTACCCAAATGCAGGATTATTACCCATATGCGAGGTTGTACAAAACCTGTTGAAGTTTGACAGTACTAGTATCCTCATCATGTCATCTGTTTAAACATAACAGATAGTTGCGCACAAGGCAGCATACCATCACAATTCACTTCATTCCCAATTTCTATTTCTTGGTTGGTTGAAGGGTTTTGCACCTACATGAATCCGCTCTTACAGGTTTCATCTCACTGACGGAAGTCGGCGTTCTGTCCAAGTGTTGGCGTGAGGGAAGTTGCCTTCCCTCAGGGGGTGGGTAGGAGTTGTCTATTCTACTCCTTGGTCCGAAATGGTTCGTTGCGCCGGTTGATGCAGCTTTGGCTGCTGTTCCTAGATCCTAAATAGTGTTTTGGTATCATTGAGGGGGGGGGNAGTATATATATTATGTTTGTTATGTACCTCGGGTCTCTAACTACCGGTTGTGCCTGACAATAGAGAAACGTCTCTGCTTCCGTTAGGTACAGTACTTTGTTTCTTTGTCAGGCTTGGCCGGAGTCTGAGATTATCCGAGAGGTCCCTATGGTGTATACAGGTTTTTACCTTTATTTCTGTGGTGTATGTTTATATTTTTAAGAACAAAATCAAAATTAAAAATTTATTTTTTTTATTTTTTTTATAAACAGTAATTATTTATACCCAAATGCAGGATTATGACCGTTGACCCATATGTGCGATTGTGCTCGACCTGTTGTAGGCAATATGAACATAATAGTTTCAACTTCCAGAATGTGGTTAAGTTATATTATGAGCAGAAATTTAGGATATTTACACTGATTTGTTTCAGGAATGTCAAGTCCAGTAAATTTTATTTTAAAGTCAGTACATGGACTATGATCTGAATATAGAGGCAGTTTTGCCTGCGTTCAGATTAAACTAAGTTCAACTAAGTTATCGTTAAAAAACATGGTAACACAAGCCTAATCAAGCTTTTACAACAGACTATGAATGTAAAAGGAAAATGTTAGATTTGAAACAAATTTACGAATAAATGTACTTAATTGTTGTATTACAATATTAAGGTAAACTGGAGACCCAGGAGGTACAGGGGAAGCTAGATGCCCTTACTAAGCAGATTGACTCCCTGAAGATACAGGTGTTTGAAGTGACGCACAACAAGTACATAGACTTCCAGTCTACCATGAGCACATCTGAAGAGCTGGCAGAAAATGTGGAAAGAATTTCGAAAGAAATGTCAGATGTCTCTGATAGGATTGAAAATGAGGTATATTTTATATGAATGTTGATTTCAAGTTAACAAAAGCTTAACTTTATGCCAAACTTTGGAAGTATTGGGGTACTTGCATGTATTTTTTTGTACAATGAATCTATTGTGTGACCCCTGAGCCAAATGTCATTGTGACTCACAACTTGCCCTTGTTTTACATCTAAAAGCAGTCTCAATTATCAACAACAACTTTTGTGTTTTAGATCAAGAGTCAGTTGAACATGTCTACAGAGGTTGTGGAATCTCTGAAGCGCCAGCTGCTTGAGGTGACTGATGTCATGCTTGTTCTGGAGAGCTTGGTTCAGATACAGGAGGGTCTTCAGTGTATATCGGGAGCCAACAAGACTTGTAATTTCTCCAAAGCAGCTGAAGCCATTCTTAACATACATGATCTGCTATCCAGTCTGGTGGAGGGTAACAAAGATGTCAATATTCTCATGGCCTTACAAACAGAATACTGGGTACAGAAAGAAAAATTTCTGTATGATATAGGCGACAAATGGAAGGAGCTTGTTTTTTGGACGATGCCAGACACTAGCGAATCAAAGCAACAAAAGTGTGAACTTAAGATTATGACAGGTGCAGAAAATTTGTCCATTTTGAAAGACATTGTTGTAGTGATGGAAAAGTTGGACATTTTAGATTCAAAAATGAAAAGTTTTGGGGAAAGGCTAGTCCTACACATTGCTCAGCCATGTATTTCTCACTGTAAAACAGTGCTGAAGGATAGCAGTACAGGCCAGTCTAAGACCCTGACGGTCAAATGTTGTGAAGAAAACTCAGATAAACCGCCTTCGCCTGTAGAAGTATTCTCCAAAATAACACAGATATTTAAATGGTTGAATGACTGTTTTCTACACATTGTGATTGATGATGAAGGGAGTGGGCAGAGCCAGGTGTTGATGGAGAGACTGGGTGGCATGGTGGCTCACCAGGTGCTGGATCTCATTGTGAAACAATGCCTCACACATGCTATTCCCACTAGTAACAAACAAATGGAAGGCTTTCAGAATGACATATCAGCTACTGAAGTCTTCAGCCAGAAACTTACAGAGATGAAATTCATACCACCAAATGAAACCACATTGACAGATTTTGTACAAAATGTTAATGTTCTTTTTGCCAACAAGAAATGTCAGGAGATTTTGGAGAAAGCCAGAAATTTGATGACATCTGATATGCATAATTCTGTGCCTGTGTCAGATGATAAACCCCTTGGGGAGTTACCTCCCCTTGAAGTACGACATGATGTGCCTTCCGGTAAGAAAAGTAGGAAATTGGACTTGGCAGGAGAATGCAGACTTAGTGATAATACCTTCAAATTACCATCCTGTCACATCAGGTAAAGAAAGATCAATGTACATGTGTCTACTCTCCTGTGTATATACATGTATATGCATGTAAGATCAATAGATTAGTCATCAAGATCATCAATAATTTTAACATTTGAAATTAAATTCACTTTAACTAACTTGGTTTTAGTTTGTCTCAGACTGGTCAGAAATTTCTGACTGGTTAGATTTTGGTGGTTATATTTGTCAATCAAGTTTAGCATGTCAAAGGTCAACTTGACCTCTTTTTGATGTCAAAAAGCATCAAGGAAGAATGGTCACACTGACTTCTACACCTAATTAGATTTTGTTTGCTATTGGTCCACCTTTCCACCACTTAACAGTTTATCCTTCACTTTGATCATTCTTTGTCCTCAAAGTCTGATACCAAATACTTCATGCTACTGGCCTAGTTTTGCAGTTTTATAATTTGAAAATAAATAAATATGATTTACTTGTTTTTGTTTCAGTGTTTGTATTCAGCAGCTGCTGACTCTTGCTTATGAGACTCTACATGAAGCTGGTGAGAGTTCACCACAGTGTGCGGTACAGCTGTTCTACGCTGTCAGGAATATGCTTGAGCTGTTTTGCAGCGTTTTCCCCACTTACCATAAAGAGAACCTTGTCAACTTCCCTCAGCTAAGTGGTGAGCTGTTATACAATATCTATAAATTTTGTGACAATTAGTTACAGTAATATCTTAGTATTTACTGAAGGCTAAAGAATAAAATGAAAATTCACAGTTCATATGCATGCATTAATTTAACCAGTTCATTTGTCTTAGGGAAAATATGTTTAACAAACTTGGTGATACTAAGGTTTGAATGTCATCATGAACTAGGGGAAATTGGATAAATTAATAGATTTCCAAAATCTACAATACATTGCATTTTCATAGACATTAAATCATATTGGCTGGGCAGGAGATACTTATTCTCTGTCTCTTTTATTCCAGCCATATTCCACAATAACTGTATGTTCATTGCGCACCACCTGATGACCATGGGCCACCAGTTTCGAAAAAAATTGCCACCATCAATCAATGCAACCTTTGTTGACCTTGTACAGAAAATTCGCAGACTTGGGACGGACACATTCCTACAACAGATGTCGCGAATGAAAGGTGTAATGGCGGAGTGCCTTGGAGGAGCAAATGGTAGAAAACTTTGTTGATGCTAGCTTTCTGAGATTTAAAGTAGACTTAGTACAATGAAAAATTTCTATTAATTGAATCTGAATTAGAACTTAGATTTTCAGATGTAAAAATATCATGGACAATGATAAATACTTAAGTTGTTTAAGAAACAGGGTACCATGCTGGTATCTCTTTGACAGTGGTGCTATCCAGTATCCATATTAATTTCCCTCTAAGTTGGTGGTAAACTTAATTTTTTCCTGCAGTGGAATTCATTATAGTCTGTTGTTTCAAATCTGTATTTCTGAGGTATGACTTGGCTTCAATTGACAGGGTTTGCCAGTGTTTCTGAGGAAAATATGTACTTCAATGCAGAACGTGCTATAAAACAGACCATGCATCAGTTTCATCATCTTCAGAAGGTCTGGCAAGAGGTGCTTCCACCTAGTGTTTACAGGAAGGCAATGGGTAAGTCAGGGTGCTGCCATTTAATGTTTATTGGGGGGCAACACATAAATCAATGTGCTGCCACTTAGTGTTGATTAGGAGGCAGTAGATTAATCAAGGGGCTACCACTAAGGACCCTTTTGCGTATCCTGTTTAACTGGTTTGTCTGTTTTTAAATTTAACATTTTCGGTTATAAATCCTGGCAGACCTGCAAATATTTATGCAGGCCTTGCAAAGCTTTGTCAAGGCTCACATGAAAGCAGCATCAGATTACTAGGTTTGACCTTATTTTATGAACTCTGGTTCAACCGTTTGGATCACGATAAACGAATGCGACCCTAATGTTTATGGGGAGGCAGTCATACTTACTTGAAACCCCCCCCCCCCCCCCCCCCCCCCCCCCCCCCANTCAAACTGAAATCCTGTAACTTTATATGGGGCTTTGCATTATCTAAGTTGATGCCATTCCATTAAACAGGCACACTGCTGAATTCTGTGGTGGTGGACATCACAGCGTCTATTGTGGTATTGGAGGACATCTCCTCAGATGATGCTCGTCAGCTAGCTACACTCCTCACCATCATCATGGATAAGGCTGGACCACTACTGCAAACCCCATCAGATGATAAGATCAACTTGACATTTGAACTCCAGAGGAATGTCTCAAGGTGGCTTCGGTTTAAAGAATTGATTACAGTGCTAAATGCCAGTCTATTAGAGATCTCCGATAGGTGGGCTGAGGGCAAGGGTCCCCTAGCTGTAGAGTTCACACCCAATGAGATGAAACAACTGATCAGAGCCTTGTTCCAGAACACTGAGAGGAGGGCTGCTGTTCTGGCCAAAATAAAGTAGAACTACAGGCAACAGTGTGCAAACATGTGATGCCATCAGACATATTTTGTCGAGACCTTCAGTTGGTGTCCGTTATCTTTACTTTCAATATCGTTCATTGTAAATTATTATTGCCTTGTTACAGGAAGTGCTAAATACCATGTATACCTATTTCGATATGACCCTCAGTTGGTTTACATGTCTGTTCTTTATACTTTCAATGTCGTTCTTTGTAAATTATTATTGCCTTGTTACAGGGAGTGCCAAATATTTCTTCTGTATGATATGTATATACATAACACAGGCTTAGGGAAGCAAGATTGATTCAAGTTACAATGAAAGTGTGTATACTATATAACGGACTGTGATGAGCTTTCCAGACTAATGAGAAGTTAAATTTGAAACAGATTGTTTAATAATATACAACATTTGATATAGCGCCCTATCTAGCTAACATGAGCCACTCTAAAGCGCTTTACAGTACATAGATATACAATTAATACAATTAGGGTATACATTTTTTGAGGAATTCGCAGGAGCTGCCTTATCAGGCGCTAACTACTAGTCCTATGCCACCTGGCTTATATCTCCCTATGTGTGTATATGCCTGCGTGTGTGCCGGAGATGTATTGTGTAGAAGGCGTATGCAATAATAATAAATTTCTGTAAGCTTGGTTATTATCTCATGGTGGTCATTTTGATTCTCGCACGATGCATCATATTTTACACTAATTTCTTTTTATGAGGAAAATACGACAGATTTAAAAACATTGATACAACAAAGTCCTAGCTCCATGTTCATGATATAAAAGCAGTTTTAGGCCCAACTCCTGAAAATCCAAACTTCAGATTTAGCTTCATGACCCAGATGGCAGATGTATAATCACCATCTTAATTTTTTTGGATTTAACTAGATTCCATTTTGAGACAATTACTTCCATTACGTAGGATATATCTGTAGAACACTTGTAGAATATGTACCACACCCATACTTATTATGAAGTGATCAACATTTAGTCACCAAGACACCTTGTGACAGTAATGTTTTACGATATTGTGCTTACATTGACAAGACAAAATGAAGTACCGGTCTGGTGTAAAATCACAAATAATAGATGATGGAATTCGAAGAAATGACCACATATTCAACAGCGTTATTGTGTGTTTGTACATTTACTGGTCATGGGTCAGGCAATATAGATAGAATATGTTATGTGATACAAACTGTTATTAAAATAGAAGTACTTGTACATATATAATGCAACTGTTAAATCATTAAAATTGTATTTTGGAAAGCAATATTTTTTGTTACTTTTGATTTGAGAGTCAGCTGTGTCTATTTCAATTATTTGCAATGTCGTCTTTGAAGAGGTATGAAAAAGCATGAAAAAAGTCATGTTTAAGCATATGTTTTTTTATTCAGGATTCATAGATTCAAAATATAGTTTTCATCCTTTAATTGATGACAGATAAAATCACTTGCACTTCATACACAAAGCCAGAAATGTAATACATTGCAAACCTTTTAAGGATCTGCGTACCACTGCCCAAAACTATTAATGCTTCAGAAACTGTTCTTTCCTACATCACTCTAGCTTTGATAAATCATTTCTGTAAAGAAAGCCATTCTTTGTGGGACGTTTATGACGATGAAATAAACAACTATAATCAACGACAGTATTAAAATTGTCAATGGAAGTCTCCTGGCCCATCTGTGCTAGTTTTATGCAAAACAGAATTAAGGGGAGCCGAGGCTACTGTATATAATATACTACTTATAGTAGTGCACTGAAAAATTCCTTACCAGATCCTTCTATATAATACTAACTCCTTATCTGAAATAGTACATCTATATGTTTGACTTGAATATTATCGAGTACTGAATTATTACAGCAGGATCACACGACCTGCCCTTCCATTGTGTTCAGTGTGCCTCCAACACCCCTTTCATATAAAGGGTCCACTTGTAACATATTCTGCATAAGATTTAGTGCTGCATGCACCACTCTGTAGTTTGTAGATGTATGTCACTCCATATTTCTACCAAAAGTTTTGTAGTGTTTAAACAAAGAAAACATTCGGTTTACACGTAGGTGATAGCATGTCTTAAATGAAAAGCAACTATATCGAAAAAAAATCCCTTTTAGTGTTCTTTATATATATATATGAACATAGTGCACTGATTAGGTTGAAAATGGCAAGTATTGAAATACAAATTTCCTAGCATTTCAAAACTTTTTCTGAGAGATCAGTAAAGTACCTTGGTAAACAGTTGTACATCCTTATTGACTCAATATAGTGAACTACGTATGTAACAGATGAAGGGTTGTTTTCTTGTACACATTATGTAGTATCATTTTAGTGGTATAAGTGTGAAGCTGCAAACATAAAATAAAATTTCTAATCAAGTAAAACTACAGGCCTAGAGCAATTTTAATGCTGCAAAGATTCATATTTTTCAACAAAAACGTTGAAAATAAATGCATAAAATCATAGTGAAAAGTTTTCATGAAACATTTTACATTAATCTTCATACATCAAATCTCATCCAAACAATCCCGAAAGTACCTTATAAATAGTTTGCGTCAATCACTCCAATTCATCAATATATACAGTGATATATATCCCTGTAACTGTCTGTACCCCAGACCATGCCTCTAGAGCTGTGACTTAAAGGGACAATTTAGGGAATTCACAACTACCATGGTTCAAAATGTAGTGGAGTTTCAGTCTTGTATCCTTGTAAAAGCTAGTCATATGAAAATAGATTAAATGAAATATTAATTTAAAAGCACATCTTTAACTTAGAGGCTAGAACATATTGTGGATTTACCCCAGAAGCAGTTACAATGGGACTGTTTCTGATATATATATATATATATATATATATATATATATATATATATAAATAATCACTTCCAACAAATCTCAAACTTATTTCACTTTCATTTATCATGAGTACTATTCATTAAAACATTTCAAAAACGATTAGCATTTAACTTCATTTGTACATGACTTAATGTATACAGACTTTGTTTGACAGTCTATTTTTCAATGATATACAATGTATAAGAACATGATTGAAAGTTGTAATACCTGCATATCATTAACATCACACTAAAATCCCCTCACGTTTTTCGAAGTTTTTCTGATGGTTTGAATTGGTTACTCAATCAGCAAGAAAAACATTGCTGCAAAAATGAATGGTATTTCAGAGTTCTACTGGAGACGACATCATCGCTTAGCTGCTGTAGAGATGATTGGCATTGCCTTCCACACTTCGTTCCCTTGTATGTACTGAGTGACGTCTATTAATAGCTACAAACAAATCAATCTTTGTTCTCTTTCATAGTTAATTTTTCTTTCATTGTTCTGGCAAATGTTTGGGCTGATAACAAAACATTTTTTTCACACAAACGTAGACAAATAAGCAGTTTTTGGTTTTCATTGAAATCTGATGACTTTAAAAGCTCCTCGTCCTCCTGAAGATGAAAAGAAAAACAGGATTTAAATTTCCTTGGTTATTTCCCAATTTACATCTACTCGTAAGAATTGTCAGAAAATGAACAAATCAGAAAACCCGCTTTGGTTTCTGTGATCACCAGTATAGTGTAATTATATCTGTTAAAATGCTTTCACTAGATTTCTTCTGATTGGTAGTAACTATCTCCCACCCGATCACCATCATGAAAAACAAATACCAAAATTCATATTGTTACAATCTGGTTTGAAAAATGTTTATTAAAAACTTGTTATAACTGTGTCTTGCAGATAAAGAAAGCCCAAAGCCTTATTAAGTGTATCATACCTCTGCAGTAGTGTCGTAGGCTTTCTGTAACAAAGCCGACCGTGTCTCCAGAAACGACCAGACCTTCTCCTCGTTTTCTATAGATACTGGTGTAGACACATCACCAAGGCTCTCCATCTTCTCTTCCGTAAGAGGAGCTGACTGAAAGTCCTTCAGATTTTCTTCATGAATTAAATGATAAATGTATGTGAAATAAAACAGATTTCATCATAGAATATGTTGTAACTGCCTTTTAAATTTTAGATAATTGGAAGAAACAGGTAAAACAATTTCCCATTTTACATTATTTGTCTATATAAAAACAAGGTTATCAAAACATGTCAGAAACCCCCCCAGAAAAAATCAGAAAACTAATTCTCCAATGTTCTTTAATTTCTTTGTTTGGTTAATGCTGATAGAGGACACATTTCTGAAAGTGAGTATTTATGAATAATTACATAATGTCCGTCAATCCAAAAGAAACTATGCATGTTACTGTTTTCAATATAAGGAATTTGTATAGTTACCATCAGTCATGCAGAAGATTCTGAGGAAGGCGAGGATTTGTGGATCAAGTGGAACTCTTCCCCGATGTATGAAGAACGACCGAGAACTATTCAAATAAATGAAACATTTTTGTATGTGTACAATATTAGGTGATAAAAATAAACCTATTGACTATTAAACAAATTATACTAAGAAGGTAGTTTATTATTAACATATATGGTTTTATATTACATACATTATGTTCTGGGTATTGCAGAGTTTGTTTGAGTACAAAAAGCAGTTATCAAACTGAGATCAACTTAGTCTAGGAAATGCACAACCAAAAATTGAATAAGGATCCTTGACCATAATTAAAATAAACATATTGGCTAACAGAGTAGACATAATCATAAAGAATTCAAATGTAACCAGCAGGTTCCCAAAGAGACATTTTTTAACAAAAACAACAACAAACACGGTTAATGAGTACCACAAACATTAATATTGTAATATCATTCTCCAATGGATGTTTTTTGAAATTGTATGAAAACTTTCAAGATCAGGTCATAGAACAAACATCACTTCAACAACAAGAATATATGTACACTACTTACACTTCTAGTCCTAGCTTCATCAGCAAATCAGACTTCCTGTCAAACAGCGGGTCACCTTTACTGATACCTGGTACAAAAACATTGTTTACATATCAAACAGTGACTCACCTTTACTGATACCTGGTACACTAACATTGTTTACATACCAAACAATGGGTCACCTTTACTGAAAACTGGTACACAAACATTGTTTACATACCAAACAATGGGTCACCTTTACTGAAAACTGGTACACAAACATTGTTTAGACATCAAACAGTGAGTCACCTTTACCGATACCTGGTACACAAACATTGTCTACACATTAAACAGTGAGTCACCTTTACTGATTCCTGGTACACAAACATTGTTTAGACATCAAACAGTGAGTCACCTTTACCGATACCTGGTACACAAACATTGTTTACCCATCAAACAGTGGGTCACCTTTACCGATACCTGGTACACAAACATTGTCTACACATTAAACAGTGAGTCACCTTTACTGATACCTGGTACAAACAGTGGGTCACCTTTACCGATACCTGGTACACAAACATTGTCTACACATTAAACAGTGAGTCACCTTTACTGATTCCTGGTACACAAACATTGTTTAGACATCAAACAGTGAGTCACCTTTACCGATACCTGGTACACAAACATTGTCTACACATTAAACAGTGAGTCACCTTTACTGATAACTGGTACACAAACATTGTTTAGACATCAAACAGTGAGTCACCTTTACCGATACCTGGTACACAAACATTGTTTACATACCAAACAGTGGGTCACCTTTACTGAAAACTGGTACACAAACATTGTTTACATATCAAACAGTGAGTCACCTTTACCGATACCTGGTACACAAACATTGTTTACGTATCAAACAGTGGGTCACCTTTACTGATTCCTGGTACACAAACATTGTTTACATATCAAACAGTGAGTCACCTTTACCGATACCTGGTACACAAACATTGTTTACGTATCAAACAGTGGGTCACCTTTACTGATTCCTGGTACACAAACATTGTTTACACATTAAACAGTGAGTCACCTTTACTGATACCTGGTACAAACAGTGGGTCACCTTTACTGAAAACTGGTACACAAACATTGTTTACATATCAAACAGTGGGTCACCTTTACTGATTCCTGGTACACAAACATTGTTTACATATCAAGCAGTGGGTCACCTTTACTGATACCTGGTGCACAAACGTTGTTTACACATCAAACAGTGAGTCACCTTTACCGATACCTGGTACACAAACATTGTTTACATGTCAAACAGTGGGTCACCTTTGATTACATGTCAAACAGCAGGTCACCTTTACTGATACCTGGTACACAGACATTGTTTACACATCAAACAGTGGGTCATCTTTACTGATACCTGGTACAAAAACATTGATATTATGTCAAACAGTGGGACACCTTTACTGATACCTGGTACACAAACATTGATTACATGTCAAACAGAGGGTCACCTTTACTGATACCTGGAACAAAAACATTGATATTATGTCAAACAGTGGGTCACCTTTACTGATACCTTGTCCACAAACATTGTTTACATATCAAACAGTGGGTCACCTTTACTGATACCTTGTCCACAAACATTGTTTACATATCAAACAGTGGGTCACCTTTACTGATACCTGCTACACAAACATTGTTTACACATCAAACAGTGGGTCTCCTTTACTGATACCTGGTACACAAACATTGTCTACACATTAAACAGTGAGTCACCTTTACTGATACCTGGTACACAGACATTGTTTACACATCAAACAGTGGGTCATCTTTACTGATACCTGGTACAAAAACATCGATTACATATCAAACAGTGGGTCACCTTTACTGATTCCTGGTACACAAACATTGTTTACACATCAAACAGTGGGTCTCCTTTACTGATACCTGGTACACAAACATTATTTACACATCAAACAGTGGGTCACCTTTACTGACACCTGGTACACAAACATTGTTTACACATTAAACAGTGAGTCACCTTTACTGATACCTGGTACAAAAACATCGATTACATATCAAACAGTGGGTCACCTTTACTGATACCTTGTCCACAAACATTGTTTACATATCAAACAGTGGGTCACCTTTACTGATTCCTGGTACACAAACATTGTTTACATACCACACAGTGAGTCACATTTACCGATACCTGGTACACAAACATTGTTTACAAACCAAACAGTGGGTCACCTTTACTGAAAACTGGTACACAAACATTGTTTACATATCAAGCAGTGGGTCACCTTTACTGATACCTGGTGCACAAACATTGTTTACACATCAAACAGTGCGTCACCTTTACTGATACCTGGTACACAGACATTGTTTACACATCAAACAGTGGGTCTCCTTTACTGATACCTGGTACAAAACATTGATTACATGTCAAACAGTGGGTCATCTTTACGGATACCTGGTACAAAAACATAGATTACATGTCAAACAGTGGGTCACCTTTGATTACATGTCAAACAGCAGGTCACCTTTACTGATGCCTGGTACAAAAACATTGTTTACATGTCAAACAGTGAGTCTCCTTTACTGATACCTGGTACACAAACATTATTTACACATCAAACAGTGGGTCACCTTTACCGATACCTGGTACACAAACATTGTTTACATGTCAAACAGTGGGTCACCTTTGATTACATGTCAAACAGCAGGTCACCTTTACGGATACCTGGTACACAAACATTGATTACATGTCAAACAGAGGGTCACCTTTACTGATACCTGGAACAAAAACATTGATATTATGTCAAACAGTGGGTCACCTTTACTGATACCTTGTCCACAAACATTGTTTACATATCAAACAGTGAGTCACCTTTACCGATACCTGGTACACAAACATTGTTTACACATCAAACAGTGGGTCATCTTTACTGATACCTGGTACAAAAACATAGATTACATGTCAAACAGCGGGTCACCTTTGATTACATGTCAAACAGCAGGTCACCTTTACTGATACCTGGTACACAAACATTGTTTACGTATCAAACAGTGGGTCACCTTTACTGATGCCTGGTACAAAAACATTGATTTCATGTCAAACAGTGGGTCACCTTTACTGATACCAGGTACACAAACATTGTTTACATGTCAAACAGTGAGACACCTTTACTGATACCTGGTACAAAAACATCGATTACATGTCAAACAGTGGGTCACCTTTGATTACATGTCAAACAGCAGGTCACCTTTACGGATACCTGGTACACAAACATTGATTACGTATCAAACAGTGGGTCACCTTTACTGATACCCGGTACACAAACATTGTTTACATGTCAAACAGTGGGTCACCTTTGATTACATGTCAAACAGCAGGTCACCTTTACGGATACCTGGTACACAAACATTGATTACATGTCAAACAGTGGGTAACCTTTACTGATACCTGGTACAAAACTTTGTTTACATATCAAACAGTGGGTCACCTTTACTGATGCCTGGTACAAAAACATTGATTTCATGTCAAACAGTGGGTCACCTTTACTGATGCCTGGTACACAAACATTGTTTACATCCCAAACAGTGGGTCACCTTTACTGATGCCTGGTACAAAAACATTGATTTCATGTCAAACAGTGGGTCACCTTTACTGATACCAGGTACACAAACATTGTTTACATGTCAAACAGTGGGTCACCTTTGATTACATGTCAAACAGCAGGTCACCTTTACTGATACCTGGTACAAAAACATCGATTACATATCAAACAGTGGGACACCTTTACTTATACCTTGTACACAAACATTGTTTACATATCAAACAGTGAGTCACCTTTACTGATACCTGGTACAAAACATTGATTACATGTCAAACAGTGGGTCACCTTTACTGATACCTGGTACAAAAACATCGATTACATATCAAACAGTGGGTCACCTTTACTGATACCTGGTACAAAAACATTGATATTATGTCAAACAGTGGGTCACCTTTACTGATACCTGGTACACAAACATTGCTTACATATCAAACAGTGGGACACCTTTACTGATACCTGGAACAAAAAAATTGTTTACATGTCAAACAGTGAGTCACCTTTACTGATACCTAGTACAAAAACATTGATATTATGTCAAACAGTGGGTCACCTTTGCTGATACCTGGTACACAAACATTGCTTACGTATCAAACAGTGGGTCGCCTTTACTGATACCTGGTACAAAACATTGTTTACATATCAAACAGTGCATCACCTTTACTGATAACTGGTACAAAAACATTGATAACATGTCAAACAGTGGGTCCCCTTTCCTGATACCTGGTACAAAAACATCGATATTATGTCAAACAGTGGTTCACCTTTACTGATACCTGGTACAAAAACATTGATTACGTATCAAACTGTTGGTCATCATTTCTCATAACTAGTACTATATGTATATTTTACTGAAATAAAACATGAGTTATGCATGCCAGGGTTAAAAAGAACCTATCTACCCCGGGCCCCCAGCTCTATCCCCTGAAGTCTGGGATTAATGCAACTTCATGCATCAATCACATGTCTTTTAGGGGAAAACAAATACTTTTTAATCAAGACAGTCAAACGAGGGTAAACATTAGTTTTTTAAACTTTTCCTCTCATTTCTTGATACTAAAAAAAAGAATGTCAGAATACTTAAAACAAACATGTTGTATAGTTCATATAGTATAATATTCATGACAGTGATTTCACTTTCTAAAAACTGATAACACCTTTAAAGGATTTTTTTGTAATAGACGTGAAAATACTAGCATACTTTTAGAAGGGAACCGATTCATTTTTGGCAATGAAATAAGCTTGTATAATTGCCTGGAAGCATACCACTAACATGATACAAAGTATCTTACCCAGTTTAACTGCTATTCTATCCCATTCATTGTCTGGATACACAAACCCACTATGTATCAGCAACTCTGCATTTGATCTGGCACCGTAGAATATCATTATCTGAAAAGCATGGAAATCTTCACAGATATCTTTCTTGTATTCTTCCTACATATTAAATTGGTACATATGTATAAACCAAAATGTTAAAAAAAGCTTTCATATTATCAACAAACTTCCTCACAAGAGATGTTCAGGAGTTGCCTTGGATCTAAGTCATGATCCTGACATGTTAAAATCATGTCATGAAATGGGGTCACAATTGTATCATGTTCCATTCGTAACAAAAAGTGGCAAAATAATATGTCAGGTCACACTCCTGTCCTCTTTAGTTACAATCATGGCATGTCATGTCACACTCCTGTCCTCTTTAGTCACAATCATGTCATGTCAGGTCAAAATCATGTCATGTCACACTCCGATCCTCTTTAGTAACAATCATATTATGTCAGGCCAAAATAATGTCATGTCACACTCCTGTCCTCTTTAGTCACAATCATGTCATGTCAGGTCAAAATAATGTCATGTCACACTCCTGTCCTCTTTAGTCACAAGCATATTATGTCAGGTCAAAATAATGTCATGTTACACACCTGTCCTCTTTAGTCACAATCATGTCATGTCAGGTTAAAAAAATGTCATGTCACACACCTGTCCTCTCTTGTCACACTCCTGTGTCATTTCAGGTCATACTCCCATCCTCTCTAGTCAGGTCACACTCCTAACCTCTCTAGTTACACTCCTTTCTTTCCTAGTTACAATCATGTTATGTCAGGTCACACTCCTAGCCTCTCTAGTCACACTCCTGTCCTTCCTAGTTACAATAATGTTATGTCAGGTCACACTACTGTCCTTCCTTGTCACAATCATGCCGTGTCAGGTCACTATCATGTTATGTCAGGTCACAATGATGTCAAGTTTGGTCACAATCTTTTCATAACAGGTCACAATCTTGTCATGTCAGGTAACAATCATGTCATGTCAGGTCACACTCCTGTCCTTCCTAGTCAAGGATCATGTCATGTCAGGTCACACTCCTGTCCTCTCTAGTCTTAATCATGTCAGGTCACACTCCTGTCCTCTCTAGTATTAATCATGTCAGGTCACATTCCCGTCATTTCTAGTCTTAATCATGTCAGGTAACACTCCTGTCCTCTCTAGTCTTAATCCTGTCAGGTCACACTCCTGTCTTCTCTAGTTTTAATCATGTCAGGACACATTCCTGTTCTTTGTAGTCAGAATTATGTCATGTCAAGTTACCCTCCTTCCCTTTCCTAGCCAAAGATCATGTCATGTCAGGTCACACTCGTGTCCTTCCTAGTTAAATATCGTGTCATGTCAGGACTCTCCTGCCCTCTTTAGTCTTAATCATGTCAGTTCACACTCCTGTCTTCTCTAGTCTTAATCATGTCATGTCACACTCCTGTCCTCTTTAGTCACAAGCATATTATGTCAGGTCAAAATAATGTCATGTTACATACCTGTCCTCTTTAGTCACAATCATGTCATGTCCGGTCACTATCATGTTATGTCAGGTCACAATGATGTCAAGTTTGGTCACAATATTTTCATAACAGGTCACAATCATGTGATGTCAGGTCACACTCCTGTCCTCTTTAGTCACAAGCATATTATGTCAGGTCAAAATAATGTCATGTTACACACCTGTCCTCTTTAGTCACAATCATGTCATGTCAGGTCAAAATAATGTCATGTTACATACCTGTCCTCTTTAGTCACAATCATGTCATGTCAGGTCACTATCATGTTATGTCAGATCACAATGATGTCAAGTTTGGTCACAATCTTTTCATAACAGGTCACAATCATGTGATTGTCAGGTCAAAATAATGTCATGTTACATACCTGTCCTCTTTAGTCACAATCATGTCATGTCAGGTCAAAATAATGTCATGTTACATACCTGTCCTCTTTAGTCACAATCATGTCATGTCCGGTCACTATCATGTTATGTCAGGTCACAATGATGTCAAGTTTGGTCACAATCTTTTCATAACAGGTCACAATCTTGTCATGTCAGGTCACAATCATGTCATGTCAGGTCACACTCGTGTCCTTCCTAGTTAAATATCGTGTTATGTCAGGACTCTCCTGTCCTCTTTAGTCTTAATCATTTCAGGTCACACTCCTGTCTTCTCTAGTATTAATCATGTCAGGTCACATTCCTGACCTCTCTAGTCTTAATCATGTCAGGACTCTCCTGTCCTCTTTAGTCTTAATCATGTCAGGTCACACTCCTGTCTTCTCTAGTCTTAATCTTGTCAGGTCACATTCCTGTCCTCTCTAGTCTTAATCATGTCAGGTCACACTCTTGTCCTCTCTAGTATTACTCATGTCAGGTCACACTCCTGTTCTTTGTAGTCACAATTATGTCAGTTCAAGTAACCCTCCTTTCCTTTCCTAGCCAAAGATCATGTCATGTCAGGTCAAAATAATGTCATGTCACTCTCCTGTCCTCTTTAGTCTTAATCATGTCAGGGCACATTCGTCATGTCACACTCCTGTCCTCTTTAGTCACATTCATGTCATGTCAGGTCACTATCATGTTATGTCAGGTCACAATGATGTCAAGCTTGGTCACAATCTTTTCATAACAGGTCACAATCATGTGATGTCAGGTCACACTCCTGGCCTCTCTAGTCTTAATCATGCCTGGTCATACTCCTGTCCTCTCTAGTCTTAAGCATGTCAGGTCACATTCCTGTCCTCCCTAGTCTTAAGCATGTCAGGTCACATTCCTGTCCTCTCTAGTCTTAATCATGTCAGGTCACATTCCTGTCCTCCCTAGTCTTAATCATGTCAGGTCACACTCCTGTCTTCTCTAGTCTTAATCATGTCAGGTCACAATGATGTCAAGTTTGGTCACAATCTTTTCATAACAGGTCACAATCATGTGATGTCAGGTCACACTCTTAATCATGTCAGGGCACACCCCTGTCCTCTCTAGTATTAATCACGTCAGGTCACATTCCTGTCCTCCCTAGTCTTGATCATGTCAGGTCACCCTCCTGTCCTCTCTATTCTTAATCTTGTCAGGTCACACTCCCATCCTCTTTAGTCTTAATCATGTAAGGTCACACTCCTGTCCTTCCTAGTCAAGGATCATGTCATGTCAGGTCACTATCATGTTATGTCAGGTCACAATCATGTCATGTCAGGGCACACTCCTGTCCTTCCTAGTTAAATATCGTGTCATGTCAGGACTCTCCTGTCTTCTTTAGTCACAAGCATGTCATGTAAGGTCACCCTCCTTTCCAATCTTGATGAAGATTATATTATTATTGCTAATTATCATATGTATTATATAAGTAAAGTAGGAAGGAATTCAACATTAAGAATTTGCAGCCAATATAAAATTTAATGAAAATAATTTTCTTGATCATAATTACCAAACCAGTAACATTGAAGTATTATTGGATTTTTGCAATGAATATTATTCCTCAATTATGAGTAATTTTTGTAAAACATTTCAATTTTTGTTTCCAAGCTGAAATATTACCTGTTCTCCTTTGGTAAAATCTCTGAGAGCAAAGCATTCACTGCAGTCCTCCTCTACATTATAGTCTGTAGTAATCTGTCAACACATACAGCAATCATTCACATGTTACCAAACAGCTGGTGATATACAGCAGCGCTATCCATCTCATTTAGATAGATAAACATGAAAAGTAGTGCTGACACTGTGGTTTCAAGATTGTTAGTTCTAACAGGGTTTTAAAATAGTTTGTCTCATTTGCAGGTTCACCAAGAAAGTACAAAAATGGACAATACCACTAAAAGAAGTTGTGATATGACAGGTCCATATATAATGTTACTCTTGTCAGACAGGTTTAAAGCTTGACCTTTACATCGTCAAAATAAATAATTATTACAAGCCAGCTTGATAAAGCATCATGATACCCCAAACTCAACAATTAAATGTAAAGGTTCGCTTATTATGATACAAACTGGAATTACCATTCTGGATAATATGATGGCCATCTTGGAAAACAAATTAGTCAAAATACCAGGTATGAACAAACTTATTCATTACTGAATCAGTTATAAAATCATAAATCACCAAAAAAAGTTTTTTTTTAATTTGAATGACAGATATTGTGCAACAACGTAAAACTCACATAACTCTTTCTTTAAGCGAGGTAATAAACCACTTTATTCCTTCTGAGTTACCTACCGTTCCGTTACAGTGATTACACATGTCCCACAAAGGGATGAGGGCGAATGTCAGTCTCTCTCCGTCAGGCGTTGGCACTTGGTTCTGTCTGGTCATTACTGTAGATACTGCCCATCTGTCAGTAAAAGTAAGGACCTGGCTTGTCATGTAGATCCAGGTAACATTTTGGTAGATATTGGTTATTTCATATGTTTTAGAATTAATGTAAAGATTTCTTGTATCCCATGCATACAGACTGAAATGAGGTGTTGCCCCTAACAAATGAGATGCCCAACTCTGAGCAAGGTAAGGACTGAAGAGGTTACTTAACGACTGACTAAGGTATGATATAGAAGTTTACAGGATTTTTTCCCCTTCGAGTGAGATGAAGTGCTATGGTGGTTTTATCTCCCCTATGGAGATGCAAGACTGGGGTGGGTTATCTCCCCTGTTGACTGAAGTAGATTGTTTATTTGTACAACAAAATCTGCAGTTGAACTTTGATTGTAATTGTTAGATCTCCGTCATCTCTAATATTACATTTACAGATTGAACCCTTACCTGTAATCATCATAAGTGAAACAGTCTTTTATGGGCAGTTTGGCAGCAGCAGGATGGTTCTGTTAAGAGAAAACAATCCTTAAAGAAGCATTTTTTCCCCCCCAAGCACATTCTAAAATTCTACAAAGAAGTATATAGGTGCTAATTACTATTAATAGTTGTGCTTGTATCCTAATGACATAAAGTTGATCCTCACAATTTTTGTTATTAGGTATGCATGACAAATGACACAAATTGTAAATCATAGCCTATATAAACAATAACTCACCTGTAATACCCTGTAAAAGTAGGCATACTGACGAGCTATGTTTCTGTACTGGTTAACACAGTCCTCTGAAAAAACCAAAATCAACACACATTATAATGTAAGGTTCTTAATTTGCAAGATCTCAAGATTTTTTTAAAACGCTCAGACACACTTGTATGCCTAATCATTTTGCCCTGTTAAACAAGACATCATTGCCCAACGACAGTAGTCATATATCGTTTTAGATACAAAACAATGCCAGTAATATTATTGTTAGAGGTAAAATTTATCCTACTTATTATTTGACACAGGTTTTTTCTGATCTGTTAAACCTTCTGTAAATGTACTTACTGTAGGCCGGGGATCCCTTCAGCAAATTCAGCTCTTCTGGTGAGAAGTATAAAGGTGTAGTGTAACCGCTAGGAAGCATATGTAGGGCAGTGTTAAGGAAAAAAACAATTATCTTGACACTACAATGAAAAGATTCTAGCTAACATAAAATCATATGTGCTTCATAGATTAACTCATACAAGTTGACTTGTACATATATGCTATAGAATCCTTATTGTTACAACAAAAAATCCATTCTATAGCTTTACTTTTACTGGACATGATGAGTTTGAGTTTGATTTGTACACTACATTTTACTTTTTTTGTATCAAAGAGTCCCAAACTGGTTATCTTTTATAAACAGGTGCTTCCCAAGCAAAAACACCTGCAACTGACACAGGTCTGCACCACATTTGACAGGGAAGGATATCAAGGTAGGGTTTCCAGAAAGACTCTGTACTTCTTCTCTCACACAGGAGGTGAAGCGCCAACACTATGCTTGGCATGGCCTGTAAGATCTTGTCCTCAGCTATCAAGGCATCTGTCAACAGAAAAATGGGACACAATCTCACTGCCAGCAATCAAATTGTATAGCCTTTTGAAACAGTAAAATAGGAAAAGTTCACCTCCGTTCTAGCTTTGCTCTTTTTGCCTAGAATGAGAAGACATATTCAATAAAGTGGCAAAAACTAGTACACAGCTATAAAATTTCAAAGTAAAAGAAGGGGAAATACAACACTGGGCAACTTTGTTTAAAATGACCAGAAGGCAATAGTCTGGTAGGGTAAAAATACTGCATTTACAGTAAATAAATTGTCAAGTTTTTGTATTAATAAAACATCATGCTTTGCAAACAAAATATAACAAGACATACTCAGCGTAAAGCTTCATCTTTACACAGGAATTATATTATGTGACCTTTATTTAAGTGCACCTGTATCTATTGATATATTATATTTTTCTCTAAGTGAATCTAGTCAAATCTGAATAATTTGTTGTTGTAATTTCCATATATCTAAGCAGTGTACATAGACAAATAATGTGTTCATCAGTTTCTTTAAAAAAAAAAGAAATAAGAAAAGCAAATTATAAATCTTAAACAAATGTCCACTGATGTTGATGTAGGTTGTTACGATTAAGTAAACCATACCTACCTAATCCTGATGCTCTAGCTGTGTCAGTTGTTATCATAATCTTCCGGGGAACAATCACAAAAGGGTCCATTTCCTACCAAATCACAAATCAACATGTCTTATACCAGCTTCAGTATTTAAGTTAAGCTTTGGTTACCTGTATTCATTTACCAAAAACAGCTTCATCACCAATAAAGAATACAAGTATTAGTAAGTCTGGCAGAAAGTTGTAAGTAAGATGATATCAAAGTTTTACTTTTTACACAAACAATGTACGTATTAAGCGTACATTGTTTGTGAAAAAAGTAAAACTTTGATATCACATATTTCCAAACTGATGAATCTTATTGAAGATGTAAGTAAGATGGTCATAACAAATGTCCAAAAGTGAAGTCCAACTACTTACATCAAATTTTTAGATGTATTGTCATATATAAATTCATGAAGAATCAAGATAAGATTAATTTCCAAAGATTTTTGTTTTATCTTAGAAATATAATTTCATGCACTTTTTTGTATTTCAATTGTGACCTTACAATTGAAATATTTGTAATTCAACTGAACAGAAAGTGGCTTAAAATCTATTGATACTAATCTGCTACAGATATGTATTTGACTTAATTTCTTGTTTAGGATTAGAAAAGGTAACACACACACATCATAATTTCACTACCAACGGATTATGAACTATAAATATTAAAAATTGACATTTGCCTGCATAAATATTTGGCTTATATCAGCTTTATATCTGTTTTTCACAGATTTTAAATGTGCTTTAACCCCCCCCCCCCCCCCNCCCCCCCGCAAACAAACAACAACACCCCAACAACTTGGTTTATCCTGTGATTACTCTCTTCATACATACTTTGAGATCTTTGGTAGCCTTGATGCCATATCCCACATGTTGGAAGTTTTCTATTTCTATGGCAGATGTGTCCACTTTGCTGTTATTTAGCCATTCTATAAATGCAGGAATGCATGCTTCTCTCTCTGGTTGAGTGTATGTTGCCTCTAAAAAGAACGAAATTAAGACTTTTCATTGAGCAATAAACTTAGATTTCAGTACATGTGTATGTTTATTGCTTGTATGCTAATACCAGTTACTACGTGAATTTCAATTTCGTTTCTTTCACTAAGGTGCACTTTAATTAATTTGTTGTTAGGTGTGAGCATGTCTTCCAATTTCTGTATTTGAGAAAATGAAGATTCTGTGTGTTTACTGACAAGTAACAAATTAATTCACTACTGTAGTCAAAAGTTGGTTGAGTTTGAGGGACAAAAGGCCATGGAAAGCAAAATATTTGTGAGGCAAGCCACAAGTATTATTGACGGTGAGTCACAAGTTGGTAGGATGGACAGTTGGTCATGGTGAGCCACACGTTTGTGAGATAGCGAGCTGTAAACTGTTGTACTGTTGACCCACAAATTGATGTGATGGTGAGTCAAGGTTGGTGTAATAATGAGACACAATTTGGATTAATGTGAGAATCTTAATAAGTTGTTTGATGGTGTTAAGTTCAACTGGTATAATTAATGGTCAGACACATGTTGGTGTGATGTTCAAATTTAGAGTAAAGATGAGCAAGAATAGCGGATATGGTGAGTCAAAGATAGTATGCTGGTGTCAGGTAAATGACACAAGGTTTATATATATGATCATATATAAGGGACAGTGTTCAGTAACTCACCTGTCTGAATGCTACGGATTTTCTCCACCATGCTGTTAATCTCGGGGAAATCTTCTATCTCCTTTGGACCAGGAGCAATAGGTTTGGAACAAACTGAAACATCAAAACTGATGAAATGAGACAATTCAAAATAAAGCTTATATTGATATTGCTAGCAATCATCATTTTGAAACTGTGATGGCAAATGTTTACTTTCCACTGAAGTATAAATATTATTCATTATTATTTTATTATCCTCAAGACCACGTCAAAGAGCCATTGTTATTTACACTTTATCACTCATACATGAATGTTTACCTGCCATTTAACTAAAGGTGAACTACTGGGTACGTGTATCACAATCTCTGATTGAACTCTATATTAGATACTTTGGTGTGCACTTTGGAATGCACTGCATTCTTACCAACAAGTAGTATTAAACAGGGTGATGGTTATCTCTATCTCATATTTCAGCAATATTGGTGACAGAGATATTCAAGTTCTGGACTTGTGCTTTATCTGTGACACTCAACTCTTAGTAATGGGACTCATCAACATTTGAAAATGATGTTCAGGATGTACCTGTAAATATCCTTCTAAAACCGTTGTTACTTGAATTATTCTTTGTTGAGAGAATACAATGTACTTACATTCCAACAGCTTTGTTGCTAATTCCATCACTTCTTTCTTTGAAGCCTTTGATAATTCTTTATATTCAGGAGGAGTGCTTGCTCGCTTTCCAGCAGCAGCAGCAGCAGCATCTTTTTGTTTTTTATTTTTCTTGCCCATTTTCTTATGCAACTGATAAACACACTATCTGATATAAGAAAGACAGATAAATATCAAATAAAAACTTTGGAGCACTAGACACGATTTTAATCTGAAATCTTTCAGAGCTTTACTCATTATTGTTATTGATATTATAGGCATGAAAAGACACCCAGGTATTTCAATGTTTTGAGGCTAAAGTGAATATCTTATTGCAGATGTCAAACTGCTTATTGTTTCACAAAATCAACACAGTATAATGTAAATGTTTCTTGCAATTTAAGTTTTGAAACCAAATTTATATATATTTTTTTCTGTTTTGAAAATCAACATAATGTAATTGTTTCTTGTTTTTTATGTTATGAATATTTTGGTATTACATGTTATAGTAAATACTTAATTTCCTTTCCAGCATGTAGATTAACAAAGATCCAGAAACTTTGCAAAATTGTTTACATAAAACAAAGCAATTGACATTTTTTTTAATACAAATTTTTAGAATTAAAAAAATCTGGGAAGGAATGAACAGAAATAAATGAATATTCACTAGTACTCATTTAGAAATATATTTGGTGGAGAATGATATTGCATGTGTATGCAGTTATAAGTATCTCTAATTCACTAGGTTGTCAACAATTTTGGTATATTTTTGTAACATGTTTAATAAAATTTAATAATAAAACAGCATGTTGTCATGTTCCAATATAAACAATCCTCTGATGACAGATACCAAAGCATACAACAATGTATATCAACATTTTGGGATTTAATATAAGCTTGCTAACAAAGTTATGGGGAACTTGCATTGCTGACACAACCATAAATTAAATGAACTGATTGGGTATCAGAGATTCAGAATACAATAATAATATATAGCATCCAGAAAACTTAGTCATTATATTATGCTGTAATTAATGGCATAAGCTGAATAACTTGTAGCATGCTTATTACTTTTTTTGTTTGATGTGTGTAAGACTAATGTAAAAGGTCTCCTTGATCACTAGCTCATGCAGTTTTTCTTTTCTTCATCAGTATAGCATCCGACTGGAGAGTCTGTGCTGCTGGTTTAACCCCCTTGTAGAATGTTATATAAGTATTTGGAGAGTAAGCGTTATCTAATCCTATTGTAGTCACTTGTCATTGCTTATATTCAGATTAATAGGAAATCAATTCGTTGACAAAAAGTGTATATGTAAAAAGTCAGTAACTGTAAGTTTTACTCCTCATGGTGATAACTATAATTCCAATTACTTATACCGCGGACTTAGATAACCCAATCTAATTCCGTGCTTATACAAAATGTAGTATTTTGTTTGTAGAAGTAGACCGATTATATGAATCCCTTATATGGTATCATGGTATATCATACTGTAATGAGAATGGTGCACCTATCAATCAGCATCCACACACATAATTGTTAATCTTTCTTATTTGAAATGAATAAGTCAACTCTTTTGTTAAGGAAATATCTCGACATTATTCCACTGTAAATTTAAAGTTACTTACATGAAAAATTGCACAATATTCTACTTCATCAACTCACGTTCTTCTCTCAGCAAGTGCGGCTGTGTGGACTACGTCATCACATTTCGGTATGTCGTAAACTTCTTATTTTAACATAAAATTATAAAAAATAATTTATTTATTATTAAAGGAATTTAACTTAATGTCATTATCGTATTTTAAACCTTCATTATATACATATCTATTTTAAACGATTCATTGTAAACGTTTTAAGTTTTGCGACACTTACAGACTAGTTGACGATATTTCCCCGGCGAGAGAACTGTGACGCATGTTGTGAAGATTATTTGGAAAACAAACATCTTCAAACAGTCTCAACAGGTATTTTTTTATCATAATTGATAGGTTTTGTTTATCACAATTCATTTTAAGTAAAATTCTTTATTTGGTTCAAACATATATGATATACGGGACGGCGTCAAGTAATATTTTGCTGTGCCTCTAGTCGACAAATGGTCGAGTCTCATCGGCCCATTCTCATGATAGGTTATTTTCAGTTGTGTACCATGGACTTATACCACGGGCTTATCTCTTTCCAGACGTTGTATGGATGATATTGATGTGGATGTGTAACGTCTCTAATGGAACGTCACAACAAATATAAGTCAGTCAACATGAACAGTAATTGTTATTTCAGCTCTAGGCCTACTGTATTTACACGTCTGAATTTGACAGCTCGGATGATTTATTGAGAATTGTAGGTAATTTGACATATTTCTATGATAATTTTTAGTTTTCTGTTTTCTTTTACCACCGGAAGGCAATACTTATCCACTTTTGATATATTTAAACAAAAGACGTCGCAAAATAATAGCATCAAGGGAGATAACTTACGACAACATCTTATTTCGCTTTTGGACATATTTATTTCAGTATTTCATCTTCTTCATCTTTTCTCCTTCCCCCGTCGATACCGACGATTACGGAAGTCGTAATTTTGTAGATTTTTCATAAGGATCGTATGCAAAACATTTTCAGAAATGTTTTGAAGTTTTGCAGTGGCAAATATTGATTAGAACAGTGTTTTTGTACAACTAAATGTATTTGAAAATATTGTGTTTGGCTGTTTATTAACATTTTTCTCATTGATAATTTCTATTGCCATTTTCTAAACTAAATAAGGTAAGTTGAATAGAATTGCTATGAAAGACATTTTGCAAGTAGTCTAAGAAATGACAGGAGATCAAACATTAATGCATTCGATACATTTTTGTGTATTAGAAGGTAAATGAATAATTAACATGCTGCTGCACATATCATATCAATATTATTTCATAATTCCAGACATGCCGTGTTGGTACTTTGAAAAGAAAGAATTACGAAATACACCTTCATTCCAAGATGGTATTGATGCTGGCACAGAAGCTAGATATAGACGAGAAGGAGCAAGATTTATCATTGATGCTGGTACCAAGATGGGACTGTATCCTTCGTAATAAATAGATTTATTCCATCTGTCAGATTCACACAGTGACAGGAGCACATTGAGGTATGGTAAAGGTCAATTCACAGACTTAAGAAAGCCACTAGTTTTATTTGTTTCCTGTTCATATCATATAATGAAATTCCGTAGGTATGATTTTCTTTGAAAAAGACGTCATACCAGGTACTCATCGCCAATGCAAATCAATACACATCAACATTACATGTATTCTGTGTTATCACACGGTATAGCAATGTGATGTAACAACAACACAATATGCTGTCATTGGCTAATTATCAGTTCTTCATTCAATGTAGCCATTTTAGAAAGTTCTGTACCAAGCACACAATGATTTTTTTGATATTGAAAATTGTTTTGATTCATATAAGCTCAAATGAGATTTATGATAAAATCTCTTTGAAATAATAATTCAAGTCCCCCTTTTTAATGCTGTAATTTAATATATAGAGATGGCATAAACATGAGCATTGTACATTAAATTATGAATCCTTGACAGTCTGGCAGGCGATATGATACCTGTGGTACAGGTGTTGTGTATTTCCACAGATTCTACATGTTTCACTCCTTCAAGGAATTCCACAGATATGTGAGTATAATTAGTGATACATGTAAGGCTTTTTACAGTTAAATAAGAAATTATTACCACTGGCAATATATGCAGATTGACAAAATTTAGAAATTGGGTAATAATTGGAATAGTTTCCTGTCAAATACAATGTCATTAAAATAAATGACAATGAAACATTTGTTGTCATGACACGACATCGTAATCATTTTTGTCATTGCTTGGTAAGTCTACCTGGCATAAGCTTATGTCATGGTATGACCTTGTCTTCTAGATCAATCCATCATTTACTTTCCTTTAAACAACTTCTTAGAACTATAAGGCCTCAGGTTGTGATATATTGCATGTAGCTTGCGGGGGTGAAGGGTTGTAGTACCAAGTTGTTCTAATAAATGACCTTATCACTTTCAAGTTCGCTTGTGCTGAATTTAAAGATACATGAGTGTGACTTACATTCACGTGACAATCATTTGAGTCCAATGTAAAATATATATAGATCAAATGATATCAGTGGCAGTAGGACTAGTAGGTTCATACTTTTCAGTCTGTCATTTGCAGGGGTAAAGACTATTAACTGTAACCAAGTTTATGACCATTACTTGCATTCAGGTTAGGTTACAGTATGAAATGTGATTTTAAATAGGATGATAACAGACAATGTGAGCAATGCAGGCCTCTTGTTGTGTTTACTGAAACTATTAGTTGAAAAAACACTTTATCTCATGACAATTTAAATTTATGTATTTTGTTTTACAGATAACAGCAGCATGCTGTCTATTTTTGGCTGGGAAGGTAGAGGAGACCCCAAAGAAAGGCAAAGACATCATCAAAATATGTCAGTCTATGTTGTCACCTCAGGTGTTCAGTGTATTTGGAGATGATCCAAGGGTGAGAATTTTCTTTTGAAATAGATGTTATCTGTTGGATGCTGTACTGGTCAGTCTTTGTCAGTTACCTGAAATTAAGATTGAGATTACTGGTAAACACACATGCAGATATGTAAGTACAATGTGCACATTGTATATAAATTATTTATTTTGTTTGAGTAATTATGAATTGTACTCTACATAGTTTTGTGCTTGTAAATGTACTGAATGTATAACTAATTGGTAAATGACTATATATATACATTGTGCATTTAATGAATGAAATATTAAACCTTCATTGATACATGAAGTAAAATACTATATGGTCCTTTGTTTGTATTTGTAGGAGGAAGTGATGACAATGGAAAGAATTCTGTTACAAACCATCAAATTTGACCTACAAGTGGAACATCCGTACGGATACCTGCTAAAGTTTGCCAAATTCATCAAAGGTACACAATAGTTAACACTCAACAGTCGGATGAAAAGCCACCATGTTATACTTGGTGTCACATATACACACTAACAATAATATTAAAACCCAACCAAGTTCAGTTGATAATCATATGACCAATGAATATCATAACTTATTGGGGACATCTTCTTCATTATCACATGATATTGATGTCACACACAAGAGGTCACACTACAGCATCTGTCAGTTACCATTCATTTTATGGGGGTTATGTGTACACAGAAACCTTCAGTTTAAAATTGGAAAAAAAAAATTAAGCTGAAAGTTTCTGTGTGACAACACGTTAATATAATGCTTCAGTATTATGAAGAATATCTTTTGGCTAGTACATTTTACTGTCGAACACTGAACACCTAGTTCAGGAATTTGAGATATGGTATTTTCCAAATAACTTTTTTTTTCATATTCTTTTTAAAGGGGCTGGTCGGCGAAAAAATGTCATATTTGCTAAAATGGCATATACCGATTCAAATTTAGCTGAAACTCACTCCCTAATAGTAAAAATTCTAATTATATTAAAGAAATCCTAAATCGTCACCTGGCAGTCTAAAACTCTCAATTGACCCATATCAGTGATGTAATTTTACCCCACGCGCGTCATCAACAAGGCCAAATGTAAACATTGTGTTGAAAGAAAAAGAGGCACGCAAAAGTCATGACAGGCACGAGGTATCAATACCGTTATATATAACAACAACATATAGGTAGGAATACTGCACTTGCATCATACATGACCTTTGAAAACAATTATTTACGTATAGTATTGCTGGTCAAAACTGGACATTGCAAGCAGAACTCAACCATCATATTGCCGTGGTATAACTTTTGGAAGGCCAGAGAACGCATTTGGACCCATTTATTTTGTAATTTATTCCCCGTCCAGCCCCTTTAAACTGTTGCCTACATGGTTTTAATACAGTGCAAATAAATTATTGCTTGCATTAACTTCGAGATATACAGTTCCCATTACCACTTTTGATCAGCACATAGTATAACAAAACAAAATTGAAGTGGAGGCTAAGATGTATTGTAACAGTTGTTTTATCCAATTCATTGTATATAGTTTTAAGTCCATTTTGAGTGTTAAACATAACACAATACATCTCCAGCACACACACAGGCATACACACATAGGGAGATATTAGCCAGGTGGCATAGGACTAGTAGTTAGCACCTGATAAGGCAGCTCTTGCGAATTCCTCAATATTGTATTGATTAATATATATATGCTATTTTTTTTTTTTAAATCATTGACAAATTGAATTTGAAATACTTCTGGGATAACTGATATTTGTTTTAATGATTTTTGTACATTAGTGTCACTTACATCCAATGTTAAACAGCCATATTCAGGAGAATGTAAAGCATGCGACACTAAAAGACAAGTTAACAACAGCTTGCACAATCACCAAAACCATCTACAGGGCTGTACACAAGTTTGCGAGAATAAAGTCTTTGTCACTGTTATTGTCACATTGGTATTATTTGTCCAATATTGGCTCTACTTTAACAGGACATCAGCTTTCTGTGGGGGAAGAAATTTGGTCCTTGTGAGTTCAGTGCACCCATCACCCCGTAATCAGGTCAATATAGGATCATACTGTGTATCCTAACACTGTAGAGCCAGTGTTAGCTGGTCGATGAGTTGAAGTAAATACAACTGCAGAGTTTTGTTGACTGTGTACGCTATTGTTATTTAGCGTAGTGGTAGTATCTCTGGCTGCCGCTATTGCATGTAACTTAGTAGCATACATTTTGCCACTTTACCTAATTTCTTTATGCTTGTAGGTGACAAAGAGAAGATACAAAAACTGGTACAGATGGCCTGGACTTTTATCAATGACAGGTAAGTCAGTATTTAGATAGGCAGTGTTCTTATACTTCAACACATGTAGTGGTCATGTGCAACAGTTACGTTACAGGGATTTTTTCAGGCTAGTCAAAAACATCTTCAAAATTTTAAAATTCATAAAAGAAATATAGTGATTCTTCAAGAGGTTGATGAGTCCCACTGGAAATCTGTAATTCTTGTACATTTGACCATTATCATTACTTTGGATATCTCTAATTCCTCATTCACCTTCAAGTAAATTTTTCGTGACTTTTTAGCCAGATGGTGGGCTATTCAAATCACCCTGCGTCCATGGTCCTTTGTCTGTCTGTCATTCCGTCTGTCCTTAAACAATTCTTGTTAGGACATTTATGTCTCCCCCCCCCCCCCCCCCCCAGACATTATAGATATTAATGTGGAATGTTTGCCTTTAGCCTGTGTACAACCCAGTGCCTGCAATGGGAGCCAGAGGTGATCAGTGTGTCATTGATGTACCTAGGCACTCGCCTCACAAAGTTTGATATTCAGGACTGGCACGGCAAGGTACCTGGAACAAAGACCAGGTGGTGGGAGTTCCTGGTGGAGGATATCACTGTTGAACTTATGGAAGGTCAGTTTTTAACTCTTTAAAATCATTTCTGTTTCACATTAATTTGATTTCTCTCAATGTACTAGGCTGTTGATGGTGCTTTTTTACAGTCTCTTTTGTCAATTTCACCTTTAAATACAAAATAGATAAGAAATAAAGTCAATAAATTATTAATTTGAGCTGTCCAGAAAATATTCTGTCAACTAATGACACAGTATGACTTCATATGATAAATATTTTAAAATACTTATGTGCTTATCAAACTCGTATTTATAGGGGTAATGTTCAATTTGAAATGAAAATATATAAATGGTTATATTATTGATAAATTATAATCAGAGTGACTAATAAAGTACAGCTATTAAGTTGAAGAAGGTAAAATCTAGATCATTAACGCATAATACAGCTCCAAAGTAGAGATATCATCAAGACTTTTCAATGAGTCTTGTCCAGACAACTTTTACAATTTACATCCACTTGTGTAGTTACCACACTCTGAATGATTACACCTACTGATCATGACCTCCAATCAAAGACAGATAACTGAAGAATATATAATACTGGAAGTCATTACACCAAGCAAACTTAGTTTACTTACATTAACTCAATTTCAACACTATTTCTGTAAAAAGTTTCCATACTACGTGGTACCTATCCCAATAAAAGTTTGTTGAAAAATGTTATTGTTGCATATTGGCGATTCAAAAACATTTTGTAATATATATTGATAGACATATATTGCAAATGTATTGTTGATTGTATTATAATTGTCCAACCTTAACGATCAGTGGATGTTAGCTTAAAAGTTATACTCAAAATAAAGTTTAGACAATACGTATTAGGATAATTCTATAATTGTAAGCTTAATTACAGAACCTGGTATTGTTTGGCATGAAAACTGGCTGTATTAGTAGTAAGATTTGGTAGGTATGTAATATAAAAAACATGATTTGTGATGTTTTTATGTTTCAGATATATGTCACAAGGTGCTTGACCTTTATTCCAACAATCCCCAGGGAACTGGTACAGACTCTCCTCCAGTTACTCCCAGTAAAAAGTCAACAGCCAGGGACACCCCTCCTCCACCGCCACCACAGGTTGGAAAACGCAGTCTCCCAGTAAGTAAACAATTCTATATCCAATATAGCTACTGAGATATTGTTAACTATTTTTTCTGTCCTACTCATGAAATTACTAAAGTATTCTGCCATCAGAATAATTGACAGTGTCTTTGCTTGTATAGTGAAATGATACATAGATGTATAAACAGTAGAGGCTCCTTGTGCATTTTGCTTTCAATCCTATATGGTAGAGTTAAAAGGTTACTGATTGCTTATAATACATGTTTACAGACAACTCCAGCTGAAGCAGCACTTGAGGCTAAGGTACCCAAATTACAACCAGAAAGGCAGAAAAGTAAAGACTCTGGCTCAAGACGAAATTCAAGCAAGAAAAACGGCTCTGTACCGGAAGCCCCATCCTCGATTGCTTTACCACGCTCTGCCCCAGCCTCCAATTACAGCTCAGCTCCCCCTGTACAGAGCAAACCAGACTACACACAGTATGGAGCTTACATGGCATCTTCATCATCACAGTACCCATCCTCGTTTCTGTCACAGGAGGGTAGTAAATCTATAGAGACACTAGTAAGTGGGTCAGGACTTGTATCCACATCATCTTACTTACAGACTCAGCCCCCCACAACTGCTGCCTCAGCTCCTGCAGCAGTTCCTCAGTACCCACCCCCAGCACAGTACCCCCCTGCCCCCTACCAGCCAAACACATATGCCCCACCCACAGCCTATCAGCAGCCTCCACCTGTCCAGCCACAGTACCCTGGCCCTGGTGGGTATCCTGCTGGTCCTGCAAATCCTGGAGCTCCACCTCCACAGCAGGCCTTTCACACAAACCAGCCTCCACCACAAGTAGGTCAGTACCCCCCAGGCTTCCCGCCACCTCAGCAGTTTAATGGGCCACCCTTCCAGGGACAGACTAATTTTCCACCACCGCCACCTCGACCTGGATTTCCTCCTCAGCAGCCTGGTGTCAGTGCTCCACCACCTTTTCAAACTATGCCTCCAAATACAGGGGCACTAAACACTATGATGGGACAGTCTCAAAGACCACCTGTGCCTGTCCAAAACAATATGGTACCACTGCAACCAAGCTCGGGACTACCAGTAGTTAGAATCACAGGTCGGAGATGATGTGATCAATAGTGTGTTCGGGATTTTTATTTTGTCAAGTCAAAGAGACTCATTGCTGATAATTTTCACCAAAGGATAGTTGGAAATTATGTGGATGAAATCCATAAAATGGGTATAGAATTATTGAAAAGTGCAATAAAATGAAATGCACTACAACATTTTGCATCCAGTCCTAATGCGGATGATTTATAGTTACCAAAAGGTAACTTGAGTATTTCTTTACCATATATATGTTGACAAGTCCTGAAAATATTGCTAACAACAGACAGAATAGTCACACACAGGTCACACACAGGTCACCTGGTCCTGGTAGGGAACTTCAGAATAGAGGAATATGGATTATAAATTTTGTATGAAACACATAATTTACAAAAAATAATATAAAATTTTGAGCATCAAACCACAATATTACCTGTTACTGACTACATCTATGCCAAATTTTATCATTATTGAAATTTAACCAAGATTTCTGTAATGATAAGTACTTCCATGCAAGTCAAAACAAAAAAGTTTTAATGTTTATTACTGGTCAAAACAGACTGTAATTTGGCATATGGGTTGTTATTGTATGTAGTATTATAATTTGATGTAAATTTTGTGTTTCAAACAAAATTATAGCATCTGGTACTTTTCCATTCGTCTGTAGAGAACCACAAACCAGGTGCCCTCTGCTTAAATACAGGTCAACAGGTGACGAATTCAGTTCATGAGGTAAACATAAAGCATATAATTGTAATAGTCTTATTCATTGTACTGTAAAAGATGTGGATTAATTAGGTTGCCTTACAAGCGTCAGCTGTAGGGAATTTCCCTTTAGCTCAGCGGTAGAGCATCAGGCTTGAGAGCCAAGGGTCGCGGGTTCGAGCCCCAGCGACGGCCCTATCTTTAACACCATTCCTCATCCTATTACAGTACTTGTTGAATGGTAACAAACATTTACATCTTGCTCAGTACAATTGTGTAACGATATATTAGATTGTGAAATTATTGAGAAAAGAAGCGAAAATTGGTTTTGGAAGCAAAGATATGCCGTACATATGATTTTATTTTAAGTGTACATGTGAAGAGTCAATGTGAAGGTATCTTAAAGTGATTAACTAACTATAAGTGCTGATCTATTACAGTGTGATATGGTATCATACACATAACTGCTATAATACATGACCTTTTGTACAATAAGATATCGATACAGGTACTGTTACTTGTATAATTGTCTTAGAAGTGCCCCACCACTGTTGCTGGAGGTGTGCATTGTGTCATTCCATATTCTGTGTCAATAGTTTAACAGAGATTTCTTCTATACTGATTCACTCACAGTTACCAAATTTGACTCTCGGTTACATCTTGGTATGATGAGGGTTGTATGCCAAAAATAGGTCAGTGTGACCTGCATTTTGACCTTTGATTCCAGTCATTGAAACCATATGCACGGAAATATCTAACAGATTTAGTACACAGGAACATCTTTGGATGAAAGAGTGTTCTATATCAAAAGTAGATCACAAAAGTAGAAATTGCAACTCATTGTCCAGAGGGTATCTCCCATACTATTTTACATGGGTTACCAAAGTTATCAATACATCTCGGGATAATGCCACTTACCAGAAGTAAATCAATGTGACCTACATTTTTACCTCTGACCCCAATCATCTCACTTCTGCCAGCAATTTTACTCTACCTGTGAAAAGGTCTAGTTATTGTCTAGCGTGAGAATTTTAATGCTGTCTGTTAGCTGTTGGGGAACTGTGGATTGCCCTGCACAATTTGTCTACGTTTTACAAAAGCCTATATTGCAGTAATGTGTATGCTACAGTACCTGTATAACTGTTTTTATATACAAAAGTCCATGTATAGCTGTAACGTGGATACTTTACCATTCATAACGATGATTGTACTGATAGTTTAAGTGTTGGAGTTCTGTGTACAAATGTTATGTATGAATTTTGAAAGTTTCTGTATACATGCATATTGCATTATGTGAATTTGGGTGCCTTTGGAGATGACTGTATACACAGTGGTGCATTGTAATGTAAATTATGTAAGTCATATTAACAGTGAAGAACATAATTGTTATAACTGTTACTAAATGGTCTAGGTATTTTAGACATTGTGGAGGCAGGTGTGCTGGGACTTGAATCAATGCTATATATATGTCATTATGAAATCCCAGTATTTTGGGACACTATGAAGCAGGCGTGTTGGGGTGTGAATTAATGTTACTTTATTGATGAAAGTCAAGAGCTGTCTTGATACATATCTTAAATACCTTTGACTTATTTTTAAGACTCTGATGAAAGAGCATTGTAGTTCACTTGTTAATGAAATTCTTACAACAGAACTTCAAATATGGATGGGAAAAATTGGAATCATGGCTAAATATCATTTGTGTTGTAGAGGAAACGTTTTAAAATATATTTCAGTCAAATGAAAATAATGAGCTCTATGAGAATGTAGTTCCTTTTTTGGCATATCAATCTGTTTTAACCACTTTGCACTTCAGCCTAGATTTGACCTCTACAATGTGTTCAACAGGTGCTTATTTTGTTGGTACGAGCTTAAGTCCAGCTGGCAACAGTGTGTAGATTGTTACCATTTTAAATAAGATTAGGTGCTACTGGGATAGATTTACTTCAATGACTTGTTCATGTCTATATGACATCTATAGAGGCAGAATATGTTTTTATTGAGCATGTTTATTGCATATGGTAAGGAGGAAAATTACATAGTATGGTGCATTTTATGATGACTGTATTTCTCAATAATGCCATAAATATTTCATTGGACTTTGGAGATAGTGATATCAAACATTTGTTTAACCATATTAGCAAAAATATTTCTTTGCTGATGTGAGATTTATTAATTGATGTGAAAGGCAATTACTTGGGATACAAGTGATTGAAAGGAATCATCTAGAGTGCGAGAGCTTAATGCCAGGAGTTCATCATTAGTGCACACAGGAATGTACATGAATCTGTTAATATAGTATGATTGAATATGAATGTAGAATGATATTTATGAATCTTGGTTCAATAAAATGTGTCCAATGTTCCTGTTTGTTGTGTGATGTGTTTGAACAAAAGTTCCATTGGGCCTGTCTTGCTCACCTGTTATTCAAAACTGTTGGTACAAACAACCCACATAATAATAATTATAATAATATTTATTTTAAAAGTGGTTCAAGGTCAAATATATTTAAACAATTATGATAGCAAGAAGGTTAAATATGCCGATTGTTACTTCACACAGTATGGAATCTGATTGGAACACCTTATTGGAAGATTTAATTTATTTTATACATGTGACTTTTAAAGTTGGTTCAGGTCATGTATTTGAACAAGTTTCATAGCCCTTCATCTTTGTATGCATCTGGTGAAATATCATTATCTTGTGCCTCGTGGTAAGTCGTGTAAAGATTTTAATACAATTGGCCTCTCTAACTTTGAAAGTTTGACAAGGTCATACAAAACTATAGATAATTTTGTGTGAAATTATATTACATGTTATAATATTGGGACATCAGCGCTTTGGGTTTTTACTAACCTTCATAACTCTATATGGACCATGATGCCTTCTGAGGGGTTATTTCGCCTGTGAATGGTTACTAGTCTTGTTCTTATAATTTGTTGACGTGATGCACCACACTGCACAGGTACCTGGATGGGGACCCAAGGTAACTAATTGTTTTGTAGATCTGGCAGGGTGTTTTTTAAAATGCAGTTTTTAGTGATATTATTGTTGTTCCCAAAGAACATGTATTCATAGAGTGTATGCCGGTAATCAGGTTTGTTAAAAATACTAATTAAGTGTCACTGAGACTAATTATATACTTATACCATAGGCATATAATCAAGAGGATACCATTCCCCCACAAAGGCATGCATTTACTGACAGTCTCTTCTATATAAAACTTAAATGGAAACCCAGAAAAAAACGCACAATGGTTCCGGAAGGGTAAGCATCTTCTGTTACAACGACGACACCCGCCATGTAAATCAAGGTCAAATCCAAGTGATGTCACGTCCTCATAGCAAGAACCGGTGTAATGTGAAGTTGCTCTATCGTCATGACAAACACGTAAACTGTTTATTTGGTTTTAATGGTAGCACTCGTATTGACATAAGACAAAAACACGAGGTAAAACAATAAAGTGTGCTCATCAATAACATGGTGCCGTGTAAAATATAGGACGCAAGCTGCACTAGAAATCACTACTGGATGATACTAATAACAAGGTTACCTTATAGCACTTTTACTTCATTCAAAATTACATGAATTTACATGAGCATTAAAGATGATTACGAATGAACGTCAAACTAATTCCATGTGAACATTAAACTGATTTTATGATGAATGTGTCTTTACAGAAGGTAAAATCACGTGCAACATGACTAGTTCAGTAAAAACTTTCTTTAAATGATTTTTTTTTTATACTTCTCGCACAAGAGCTTCTACGAAATGAAAGTTTTACTATAACATATAGACGAGGGTCCCGACACAATCTATTAATATCATAACTTAAAATAGTATACACGGAACAACTATATTATAATTATTATATCAATCAACGTTAGTAGTCCTAGTTCTATGGGATCACCACGTTTCGGAATTTAATATCTGTTTGTGAGATCACGTACACAAATATCTACTTTTCAGAGTTTTAGTGATAATGCATTCTTTAAATACATATACACATAATCTGAAGGAATCACGATCGAAGACTAACTGCCAATGGATACTTTATAACTCAATATTAGCAAAGGACTGAGCTGTTCGAAATATCCAAGTCTTCAGGTCAGAGACGTAAAATACTTAACACTGTACATCTGTGTTACAGTTAAGTGTAAACTGTCCTTTACCATTACTCACAAGTATACGTATACTATATATAAGAGAGGACTGATCGATTAACACTATGTCGAATTTGAAAGTAATAAAACTATAACAGATGCAGGGATGAAGCTACTACAGACGTTATACATGTATGGTTTTGATATAGCTTGATCAAGATTTTAACTCTGTAACACCGACAACGTACTCGTACATTATTCCATCACATCTCTGACCTTTCACCTTGGTTGATAATCTTGATCTTCACGTGAGGTTCTACATATAATATAAATAGCTATTTCGATACACTTATATTCTACTCCATAACGTGTATATTGTTCGACTTGCGATACAGCATTATTTTTTCTACGTCTGGACCAGAACGACAATGGAATGGTTTTATACTTACAACACTTCTATCAATGTACATAACAAATTGTAAAAACGGGAAAACAATAATAAATAAATATGAAATGTCATCAGAATATATGCATACGTTTCTAAATGGTATTATCTATAAATGTGGTTTTGCAACAAATCATTCAAACGTTTCTATTCTCATACTCTTTGAAATCTCCTTAATTAATTGGTGTCAACTCATCTGTCTATCATAAATGACTATCGAAACAAGTGATGGGTATGACTATGGACTAAACTGCACTGAAAGACTATAATGACACAATGGGCTCACATTCATATTGCTGGCAACGCCGACTTCCGTATGACATTGGAGTACAGAAGGATACTCGAGTACTGTATGCTATTGGAGTACTGTAGGCAACGTACAGTTTTAAGACACCTAATTTTGCGATCTTGTCTTTCTGTAATAATTCTTTCAGTCGCGTTTCACTCATCTGTATGACTTATGTTACGTATAGACAAATATGTGTTCGCGTAAAACTTGAATTTACATGCAGTGAATGCTTAACGGGAAAGTAATATCAATCGCATTGATTGATAATTTGGTGTATTTTGCAGTGCGTGGCACCCCACGATCCAAAGAGATATTGACATACAGAATTAGGCCATGGAGATGAACGAGTACATGAGATATGTCCCCGTCAATTTAATGATTCGCGGTGAACAAAGGACCGTAACTCTGTATGTAATGGAAAAGGAGGCACGATCTTAGTAAGGGGCACTCTGCCAACTCATGAGGTACTCATAACTATATGTGGCAGAGGATATGAAATAGGCAAAGTGATGAACGGTCAGATGGACCGAGTTCGAACCTATAGCCACCTCAAATATTTCTTTTGGTAGACTAATGATCGTAGTCTGCTCTTGGTAGTCTGTGATGACGATGAAGCGTTGTGGAGTAAATATATCTCACCTGGCACCCTCCCCGTCAGTTGCCACACGAGCTATTGCGGGAGATACATCAGTATGATGTGGTACACTGCAATGAGACTGTAGTATGGCCGACGCTATAAGTATACTAATGATCAATGTAATCTCTTGGTATATTGCATTTCTGTTTGGTTGATTGATAAAACGCAGCCACTCTTAATAGCAGGACTAAACCTGTTGTCACTGTAAATAGATGCACCTATAACGAGGTCTGGAGAGCTTAAATACTATATCTAGTTAGTTAAGAAAATATCTTAATTGAGCTATTTCAAAATTTTCATTGTTGGACAGTTATCTGAATGACTCAATTTTCGGCTTCAGACTATTATGGCATCAGATTATCTCGGGAAGGAGTCGTGTATTGCTTGCGTAACTGGAGAAAGAGGAATGCAACGGCCAGACCAGGGTTCGAACCCGGGACCTTCCGAACTCTTGACTAACGCTCTACCAAAAGAGCTACCTGGTCGCCGATGATGGACCCAGTCCAGTTCCGCTATACTGGTTAAGTGATGAAGAATTAACAATTCCAAAATGCATAGCTCTCATCTTAAAAAGTTCAATTTTGTTTCAATTAAAATGAAGTGGACATAATGTATATCCTTGACATGTTAGGAACCACATTCTATTTCGTCCATGCTTTGGGTACATCAATCTTAACAACGTCTTGTTTCGTTGTGGTCACTCCCGGTCTGGGAGTAACAAGTTCTGTGGTAGCCGTTGATATGTTTGACCGTGTTGTGACTAGATCGGAGGACCCTATTAACTGTACAAGACCGTCTAATGCCATCTGTACACTCTCCTCACTGAGTGAGCACACCTCCATTGTTTTCCATGGTCTTTTGGTCGTCATGGCTGCCTTCAGCCCAAGAGCTGTCTCAAGCTCATCCAGAGGTAAAGCACCTTTAAAAGTAGAAAAAAATGTATTTTTCTTAACAAAATTAATTACTGCATTTGCTACTATTAAGTGTAAACTTAAAAAAAAACCACCTTTATAATGAACTGCCGTAACGTAAAAAAACAACACCTTTTTATTTATTTAATGCATAAACTTGACGTTTTCCATTTGATAAGAGAAACTATTTGCTTATAAATGTATAAAAACTGTGCATTTGACAGGTGTGGATACTTTAAATAGATATATATCATGTTTACATGTTTCGACATTTTTCAATACTATTGAGTCGTCTTTTGGAGAATAAAATCAATCTTAATATGATTATTGCAGGATGCGACTAGTGTGCCCCGCTCCTGCTGATATGCTGCCCTTATTTCAAAACTTGGAATCTCTGTATTTGCGTTTTCCCCCTTACCTTCTTTCACGCCCTTGAGTGGTTCCATCATCTTTGAACACCATCTTCACATCACCTTAGCTGGTAAGAAGCAAAACCCTGAACAAATGAATTAAATCATTACCCACCTGACAGGTCCTGTTTGTTGCCTAAGACAAGAAGAGGTGTGTGTATGAGGTCCCGGTCGTGCAGCACGCTGACAAGGTCCTGTTTGGCGTCGTCCATCTCCTTGGTATCCAAGCACGTGCTGTCCACCACGAAAACGATACCTATAGAAGCAGGTAGCAAACATTTCATTCATAAAACCGATTTGTTGAATATAATATTGTAATCAGTTTGCTGTTTATGTTATTGGTTATGTGTGAAACTATCAGTTTGAGTATCGAAATATAAAACACAAGTACAGGTTAACTAGAATTATATTAGTACGTACCTTCTGTGCCCTGGTAGAACTGCCGTCGTTTGACTCTGAAGTTGGGGGACCCGCTCAGGTCAAACACCATAAAAGAGTGACCACTGGAGGCTCGGACCTGCTCCACGTTAAAGTCGGATGTTTGGACTGGCTCCACCACATTGTCACATCCCAGCTTCCAAGAGTATAGCAAGTGAGTTTTACCTACATGCAGAAACGACAAACGTCATACATATGTAGGTATGTTACCATAGGCGATCTTCTTATACATGCAGGTAAAAGGTAACACATCCAGAACATTATATTTGACATAGCCAGCTTCCAAAAGTATAGCATTTTTTAACGGAAATACCACAAACATCACATATAGTCATACACACTGTCATACCCAGCTTCCCGGTGTGAAGGTCTTTCCTGGTTTAACAACTACAATACACGACAAACGGCATCATTTATTTAACTTAAATGGTACCATAAAAACATATTTAAGTGTTGTTCTGTAGTACATTTCACGTACAAACATTTGATAACGAATATGTCCAGTATTTACTTTGTCTGATGAAACTCTCCTTCATTGTGATGGAACTTTCAACATCAAATTTTAATTCCCTACACAGTACACATACATAGGTCCTAATTCCCAGACCTCTAATCATCACTATATACAGTTATCAAAATCAGGCATATTTCAATTTAGTAAAAGAAAGAAAAAAAACAATAAATATCGAAGGACATAATTTAATGTATTGGTGGTTTTTTATACCAAATTTTAAATGATCAGTTATGCCACAACCCTAGCTATTTTTATTGAATGGGCATATTGTTGAGAATTTTCCTGACACAGGAGTATCACGTTTTTATAAAGAATCATTGTGTCGATATAAAGGATGCCTTTGTCTTATCAGTAACACACACTATACCGTGGACATTTTTATTGATTTCAGCACAAACTAAAGTAACTACACATATATATATATTTCAGTGAGTATATGCCCTAGGCCTATACCCACCACTAGACAAATAATGATCAGTTGTTTTAGGAAATGCAATTTGAACTGTTATACGGATAGTGCCTATTACACCGTACAGGTACAATATTTTGCTAGCTTGACATATATGGCACATTTCCAGAAACAATATGAGTATTCGGATGAAAATAATCCACCACAAGCTGACGAACAAATGAAGATTAATTGTAATGATGGGTTATGTTCATGAGACTGAAATTGTCTGAAATGCATTACATGTAGGCCTAATGCACTGTGTGTGTAAATATATATACTCACTCGATCATATATGTCATATATATGAATTATGGATCAATTTGAAGTCAGTGCCAGCTATCACTATACTAAGCTTTCGCCAAGCATGTTGGTTTTGGTATCTATATACATATAGTCAATATCAGTCCTACAAACGAACATAGGTCCTATAAGCATAACTATACGTTACCATATTAAGCTACGAATTAACGATCGAACCCATTTTTATGACGATCGATATCGGGTTTAATTCAACCGTCAACAAACCATTGAATTCAGGTGCAAACTTGAAACTGATATCGGTATGGAATATAATCATTATAAAGTAAAGCATGTTTAAAATAGGAAATTTACATGTATACATGTATACGAATCACAACACCACAGTCTAAAAAGTGTATCGTTACGTTACCGCACCTGCTCCACTGGGCCCAACCATCAAAATCTTTTGAGGGTACTCCAATTCCGTGTAGGAGAGATTTACGGCCAGAGTCTTGGTTCCTCCACTGCTACATGTGGCACCCATATCATCTTGGACTGGGATGAATCATTCTATCCCCAGCAAACACGCGAGCATTACATTTCTCACGAACCTAACAACTGGTTGTTTACAGAAAAAGAGTTATGACAAGGGAGATAACCTATTTCAATTGCAGCCTGGTGGACGGGAAGCTTTTAATGCCCCAATATATCAAAAAGCAATAGTGAGATTCTGGCTTGCTATTTCAGAAATACTTTTTGATATTCGTATATGATGTTGCAGAATTGATTTAAAGTCGCAGAAATGTGTTGCAATAATTGAATCGAGCAAATGTACGAGCTACTTAGTATATTTCAAAAAGAAATATTCCCGTCAAGCTAACAGTGGTTTACAGACCGGGCCTGGGCTGTCGAGTTATGGGGTAAAGCTAATAGGCTATCACACACAATAAACCTATTTTGGTTATACTGTCATTATATTCCACTACAACATATATGTTAAATCCCGGATCTCGGATTAAAAGGACTGGTGCCGTCACCAGTCCATACCTGTCCTACTTAAAAGTTATTCGACATTCAGGCGCGGATTTGG